ACACACACACACACACACACACACACACACACACACACACACACACAATGTCCATCAACAGGAATGTACACATGAACTAAACAGCTGGAACTAAATGGAGGGAGGAGGGTCTCGTATACCTTTTGGTGAACTCGGCATCCAGATGTGATGTGCTGCACAATCGTATCCAACAGCTTCACACACAAAACCTGTCAATATAACACACCAGCTGCATTAGTTACAGCTTGTTCGACATGAACTAACTTCTGAGATGTGTCGCTGTACTCACAGGGAATCTGTTGAACAAGTCTGTGAACATCTGAGCGGTCAGAGGGCTCTTCCTCCTGCCCATGAAGGAGCTCAGGGCGTCTCTGAAGATGGCGGAGACCCGGTCCACATCCACGTTGCCCATGAAACTCAACTGCACAAAACACATCAGGAGTCAGATTTTCTTTGCAACAGGTGAATGTAAGCAAGTTGTTTTCAGAGGAGGAAACGTGCAACTCTGGAAATATGTGTGAGAGGGAACAGAGGGAACTTTTGGGAACTCTTTTTGACAGATTTAGGCTGCAAGTAATAATTATTTGCATTAATTTTCTTGTTTGGTCCATAAAATGTCCATCATGATTTCCTAGAGCCCAAGGTGACATCTTCAAATCTCTAATTTTGTCCAATCAACAGTGCTAAATCCAAAGATGTTCAGTTTACCATCACTTAGACGACTTAGAAAATCAGCAAATGCTCACATTTAAGAAGCTGTAACTTAAAAAATGACTTCATATGAACTGTTGCTAAACAAAGCAAACAGGGAATCTTTGAGGGAGAAACTCTGGGTAAAAGGGGGACAAGTTATCCCGGACTGACCCACTTCCTGACCCAGTAAATGCCTCCAAGAGACTTTTTCTGGTGCAAAGCTGGACATAATACGAGATGTTAACGCAACGGTAACAATTAAAACTACTATCCAGTGACCTAAACACAGCAGCACCCCACTAAAAGGTGGTTTAGACGAGTGAAATCAAGCGGTGAACGAATGAGGTAACAAATGAATCAGTGTGCGTGAACATACGTCATTTGCTGCAGCCCCGTCGGCGGTCTGCTCCTCTTTGGCTTCAGTGGGCGGAGGTCCTCGCAGCACTTTCACCACGTACAGAGATGCACTGAGAGGACAGTTCAACATCAGTAAAACACAAATTATGTGTACAGCCTGGAGACTCTTGAATCAATGTACACTATCCTACTCTATATTTCTGAATGGTCTTCTATGCTTATGTTGAGAGTCCTCTTAATAAATAGATGTGATTTGTTGGGTTTTGCACATGCAGAACAAAACACTAAGATGGTTCAATCAGAGTGACAATTGAAAGGGCAGAAAGAGACAACATTGGGTATCTTTGTACATTTTGGGAGAGGTAGAGTGTGTACACATAAACAATGAAAAATATGCCGTGGGGGGGGGGACTTGAGAGAGAATGTAATAGAGGTCGATGAGGCTTGCTTTTTTTATTTACAAGCAGGTATTAAAATGTCAAGCATGTATTCATCTGGACGCCTTGCTTGGAAATCAATTTTTCCTTAAAAAAAAAAAAAGTGGAATATTACAGGGGCAGGTCAGTGTTAAGTATGCTTTTTAATGCGCTGTGAAACTCTGCCCAGAAAGGTTTAATAACTGGACAGCAAAATATATGCCAGTAAATTGCTTTCTGAATCACACACCGTCCCACATGTGGCCTCCCCTCCAGCAAAATGTGCTTTCTGCTTCGGTGTAATAAATAAAATCATACTCAAAGTCCCGTCACACTTGAGAGCTGGTGCATTTCCACTGAAATACACACATGTAACCAGGCCTCATTTGATATTGAGAGGTTACCTTCTCTTTCCCATTGTTCTTCAACATGCTCTGCAGGTTTTGTCACAAGGCCTTTGTAGAATCTAGAGATAACACCCTTATTTGAAACATTTTGGTAAGCACCGAAAAATATTGTTAGTATTGGATCATCAAGGTCTTCTATTTCTAATGTTATGTCGAAATGATTGCGTATCTGGAGGCATCTATTTTTCAAGACGATAAGTCCTTTAATTGTCTCTTTTCTGGAAGGGAATAGAAAGTTATAACTTTTAGGATCCTGGATTTAAATCTGATCTATTTCATTTGGCTGGACCGGTCATTAAAACAGTAAGTTGTACCTGAAGTAGTAGAGGCAGACTGAGGAGTCGGACAGTTTCTGGGTTTTAGTCATCAGTTTTTCCAGCAGGTCGTGGAGCTCCCCCTGTCTGTCACTGGCGGTCCTGCAGTAAACCTTGGACCTACACAGCTGGTTCCTGAAAAAAATAAAATACAAAACCTCACATTAATTTTGATTATATTTAGAAGTAACTGCCAGCGAAGGAGGCTGAGGCCATGTTGCCAGTGGGAGATATTGTCACTTCCTCAAATTCCCGATATCTCAGAATCACAACTCAGAGGCTGAAGTGCAGATTTTGCAGAGAACAGACAAAAAGAAAAATAATGGGGGGGGGGGGGGGGAAATTAAATGAGTGATAGACACAGCTGACGTGCGTTACCTGAAAATATCTGCAGCTCGGCGGAGGAAGTCCTGCTCCTGCTGGTCGCTGTCGGAGCTCATTCCTCTGTCGATGATGTTGAGCAGAGGCTCCACCAAACCCAGGACGAGCGGACTGCCAGCCTGCCGGGCCACGAACACTTCAACCAGGTCCAAAACCTGCAACAAGCCAAACAGGTGAGGGAGGTACGGCTTTGGGGCTGGTGGAACATGAAGTCTTCTTATCGGACTCTGGGTGAGACCAGAAAACAAGTATATTTTCCAAAGTGTTTACAAGTCCTGGATGCGTTACCTTGATCTTAAAGTCTCGGACCAGCATCTTCTCTTTGTGTATTTTTGTCTTTTCATCCTTCTTGGCCTGGGTCTTTTTCTTCTGCTCCGAGAACAGCGCCGACAGGCCCTTATCCAGCTCAATCATGGCGTCATCGTCCAGATCTTCGTCACTGCTGCCGTCGTCCTCTGTGGCCTAAATATGCGGGACGACGGAGGACTTTAACACAATGTACACCGGGATCTGACACACGCTGTTCTGTTTACCTCATTTAAAATCAACTCTACATAAGAGACAAGGATAAGATTTATTTAATTGATCAGTGTTACAATATCAAACAATAAAATATATACAAGCAGCTGCAGTAAATGGTGCTCAGTTCAATTGATGACATGCTGCCCTGAAACATATGTGGCATATCACAGAATCCACATGGGGACCACGCCTTAAAAACCCACCAGAGCATTCTGCTGCTGCAAGACCTTCATCAGCTCCAGACGGAAATTTTGGTCCACCTCTCCCACTTCCAGCTCCCCCTCTTCCTCCTCGTCTTCCTCCTCCTCGTCTTCCTCCTCCTCTTCCATTGCTTCACCATCTTCATCAGAGTCATCATCTGATCCATCAGACTTGTCGTCCTATCAGAGCCATAACCGCACATTTTAGGATAGCAAACGTGTTTTCTAAATTAGTACAAAAATCAAAGTGTAACAGTAAAGACGCATTTACTAAGTGGACTGAGTACATAAAAAAATCAATCATAATACCATACAAGACATGAGACGATAAGATGATGTTATTGACAAGATGACAAAAGAAAACTTGAAGTAATCTTTGTTTTAACAGGTTGTGAAGAAGCAAGAGAGGAACTGACCATCTCATCATCTTCTTCATTTGCGTTGTTCTTCTGGGCTTTGTCGTCGTCAGTGACGAATAGAGCACCGTCCTCCTCGTCATCCTTCTCTGGGTCCAGAACCTAAACAGAGCCCATACACACATCATTACAATCACTCAACAAGCTTCCAGTGTCGACAAACAAGAGATCTGCCCATCTGTCAGTCTAATGACAGTGATCTGGTCCAGTTCGTAGTGGCAGCACGATGACAGCCTGTTTGTACAAGAGACCTGCCGCTAGTGATGAAGGCCAGAAGATGTGGCTGAAAGCTCCAGAAAAATACAGTAATTTCACCTTGTGATCAGGTCGATTTCTTAATGACACAACATCATGTTTGTACAAAACAATCTTCCAAAAAACACTTTTACAAACAGGTGTTGAGCTCATATGCGTTACTTACCTCTAAGATGCCGGTGAGGGCCGCGGCAGTGACATGGGGGCAGATGGAGGAGAAGACCACTTTGCAGACCTGTCTGATATGTCGGCTCGCCTGGCTCAGCAAGGACAACAGGATTTCCACCATCACCTCCACCCACGTGGGCCCCTCCTCCTGCGCTGTGGCAGCACCAAAAGAAAACGCAAACCCACATTCATACACCACAAAGCAGTATTCAGGATTTTACTCTGGCCACTTTGGGGCAGAGGAACAAGCTATAAACTAGTGGTGGAATGTAATGAAGTACACAGTAACTCATTAAGATATGTATTACAAAACATATGTGAGAGTGGACCACAACAGTGAGCTGAAACATGCTATAATGCTCTGTATGTAGAGCTGAGGAGAAACTGCAGTCGGGTGGGTTTGTCAATGGGTGGGAGTTTCTTCCACACTTCGGTCATATTTTAACACCTGAGGCAGCTTGATTTTTACTGAATGAAGATTTCTTTCAAACATAACAAGAAAATTGTACCATGCAATCTAAAGCTGCTTTAAATCCAAACGGAAGCAAAGACTTGCATCTCAGTTAGTGGAGATGGCCTGCTCGTCTCTTCTGCAAAAACTCGTTTTGTGACTTAAGTCGTTAATAAGAAATCCTGTACATTAAAATGTGAAAGGCAGCTGCTGCATCTTTGTCGTGCATGCATGAGGCCTCACCTTGTTTCTTCTTCTTGGCCTTCTTCTCCTGAGCCATGTCCACGCAGCTCTGCAGGTCCTTCATGATGTCCAGCAGCTCTTCTGGGGCCTTCCAGGAGAATGTTTTTGTGTGAGCGGACGGTGTTTTGTTGCTCGGAAATTACCAACAGTACATCATTAAGGCTGCAATGACAACAGTACTACTATAGTCACGGCTCTGGTGGTATGCCGTACCTTGAAGAGGTGCATGCCGACCAACAGGAAGACCTGCTGGAACGCGCCACTCTCAGCAGTCGGGCCTTTCTTTGCTTTTTTCTTCAGGTTTTCCACCGACTCCAGCATGCTGCAAGAACACACATCAAACACGTTACTCTCTGACGTGGCACTGAACACACATTACTTTAATGTTATATAGAAATGATGGCCCAAAGTACGAAAATAAAATCCAAGTTATAATAAACTCCCTTTAAACCCGTGTGACTACATTCATGCGGTATGGTGGAACAATCGAGCTGTATCCTGTTGTCTTGTATATTGTTGTCCTACCTGTCCCAGGCCTGTCTCTGCTCAGGGCTGAAGGGCTGGCTGCTCTGGGCGAATTTCGGCTGGCTAAGCAGCAGTTGAGTGTACTGGACCAGGTGGTAGATCCACATGGTGCCGTCGGCTGTGACGCCCAGCATGCGCTTTTGGTTGACTGCCGCGCCTTCGGCCGGGTCCTCGCACGGAGGGAGGTGGTGCATGGACAGGAGGAGTCTGGAGGAGGGCGGACAGACACAAAGTCAGTGATGCAGCAGTGACACCGCAAGTCACATGGACAGCCTTTTTTAGACAAAACAGGGTTCCAAGGGAACTCTTGACATGACACTTTTGTCAGTATTCATAAGATGTGGTCGATTTGCAGTCTAATACATATGATTTAATCTCTCACCCAAAGAAAGAATTGACGAGCACTCCTCTGGTTTTATCATCCAGTGGGACAGACAGCGTCCCCATCGTCTCTCCGATTTTGGGCGAGGCCTTCTTGGCGCTGAAGAACGCGTGGAAAAAGACAAATCTGGAAAAGAAACAACACCAGCTGATGGCCTTCTCTTCATCCAACCTTGAGACCTTGACTTTGCTCAAATAGTGGCAGGTCTCACCTGGCCACACCCATGATGAGATCCTCCTGCTTCTTCACTTGGTGGTTGTCAATGATCGAGCAGAGCCGAGAAACGATCCACCTTCTCAGGTGGAATATGGAGTTCTCCTTCCTGAAGGAAGGAAAATCAGGAGTTACGTCCAGTTTCCATCCGGACGGACGAACACGCCGCTAAACAACACAACAAGCCGTGTACACTTACTGTTCCTTTCCTTCCTTATTGTCCTTCTGCTTGCGAGTGCTGAAGTCCAGCAGCTTGTCCAGCTGAGGCTGCAGGAACATGTTCTTCAGCCACTCCACGTACGGCTGCACAGCCTCGGGCTGAAGGTGCTGCACCACCCTCCACACCGACGGCACCACTGGGCAGCCCTTGTGGGACAGCGAGGAGAAGCCCACCATCACTGCCAGCTGTTTGTCGGCATCCTGACAGCCCTCCAAGAAGTCCGACACGTAGGTGTCCATCTCTGGGGCCAGCTTGAAGCGGTCCGGTTTCTGGGAGGGAAAAATGATAGGACGACATTCACATTAGTCATCAGTTCACACTTTATGGTGTCATATTTACCACCTGCTCCAGTTTCTCCTTTCAACAAAAATAATGGGTTCATACTCTAATTATACTCTTAATTAGTATAATAATAAAGTACACCTGATCAATATTAGGCTACCATCGACAAAACTTATTTTTACATTAAAAGACATCCTGTGAAGGGAAGGTTGCAAGACTTTTAATTGGGGTTGTCGCGGTGAAGGAATTTCCCCCACAGTAAAAATTTACAAGTGAAATTTATTTACCTGAGAAGACATTACATGTTCCCCGTAGTGTATCATCACCTCTCCAGACATCACCTCCTTCAGCTGGGCTGCCGACAGAAGAGGCAGGGCGCTGCCCAGCAGACGGAAGCTCAGGTAACTGGACAATAACAAGGTACATGTTAGAAGAATGTAGTTCTGAAGTGGGCCTAGGACCGGACAATAAGACATATAACATGCAGACATGTTAAGGGAAACACAGGCAGCAGGTTCTCTCTGTAGTAGAGAAATGCCCACAGTTCTGGATGTTAGGATCAATGTTTCTTAGTCTCTTGCTGCACTCACTGAGTGGGCCCCGGCTGCTCCTTTAGCATGCCGTTGACGATGGCGTTATTCCAGAAGAGCTGGAAGCTGTTTTCCTTCAGAGAGAGCTTCAGGAGGTCCAGGACCACCGCCGGGAGGACGCACTCCTTCTTCACCGAGCGGGCCGCCATCTTCAACACCTCTGTCAACCTGCCAGACAACATCATACATTGCTTAGATTTTCCACAGCACGTGTAGTACGGGAAACTGGGGCATACATTTTGTTTTAAGTTATACATAAAACACGGCACTAACGGGGAAAAAAACCCAATCACAGTGTTCTTACTTGGGGATGTTGTCAGCGTTGATGATGGTCGAGGAGCCCAGCAGCTTCTTGAGTTTCTTGGGTTTGAGTGTTTGCGGAAAGCGCTGCAGCGCTACCAGCAGCAGCTGCAGCTGCTCCGGAGTACTGAAGGCGGATGCCAGGTCAGTTTGCAGGGCGCTCAGCAAGACCTCCTCAAACACCTCCTCTGGGATCTGACAGGCCGGACATACATATTAGTTTGCAGAAATGAATAACCAAACCACAAGAAGAGAAAATAGGTAGGTCAAGCAGAGGCATCAGTATTAAGTTTCATAACCCATTTAAAAGTTTCTCGTAGTGACAGTAAATGATCAAATCTAAACCCTATATCAATAAAGGTGCGACTGAGTAGCAGTGGTCACCTCATTGAGGATGTCCGTCATGGTCTTGGTGGGCAGGTCCTTCAGGTGTTGTCTGTGTTGGCTGAGGCTCTGCAGGAGCTGCACACATCCCAACACCACCTGCGGCTCCTGCAGGAACACAAAGACAAGAGGTCAGAGACCGCAGCAACCTTCACACGCAGCAGAGTCTGCAGCTCTAGATGAACTGTTCCACAAAACATGTAGGTTCAGGCTTTCCATCCTGGTGAGACTACTTACTTTAGAGATGCGGCCGGACTGATGAATGGCGAGGACGCCGAACAAGTTTCCAAACATTGCATTTCTGATAAGTTTCTGAAAAAACAAAGAGAAGACGTAAAGAGCCCGTTCATGAAGCTTTTAGAGCCCACGGAGTAAACATTAAAACACTCACCTTTTTCACTGTCAGCAAATTGTGCTTTACTTTGATTTTGTCGAGTACACTCTGCAAAGAGACGCCTTCAAATGCACACAAGACCTGAAAAACAAAACCTCATGTCATGCTAGGCCAATAAATGTCCATTACTTCCTGCTTTAAGCATCACTTGTGGTTTGCAGCTCAGTATCCACTGCAAAGCCTTTTGGGTAGATCACTTAAACTGGTTTCGGTAGTCGTCTCCACTCACCTGTCCCAGAGCCAGGCTGAATCCAGGTCTCGCAGCCTCTCGTGTGTGAGCCAGTCCATCCACCAGCCTTTTAACGGTGTATTCCAACTCATCCGCCTGCAGCGCACACATAACAACATGCCAGGATTTTTATTTTGGGCACACTTATTATAACTCTGCATATATTTTATAACAGAGTTTCAGAAAAGGGTTCAGATAGTTTATAGAATAACTTACTTGTATATTTCTATTTTTTGCTACTTTAACATTTAAACTACATTACATTGCAGAGGGAAATGTCGTACTTGTTGCTCCAATAGTTATATTTTACTTTTAAATAAATTAATATGATATAAAGTAGTACTGTACTACTAATCAACCCAGTAGAATAATCTAAAATTGGATCGACAATGACAAACTACATTAAAATACTCTCATGTGTATTTGTGAGGGATAAAATGGGATAATATAATATAATCAATATATTAATATAACAATAATATACCAGTCATAGTATTGTGGTGGAATGTGACCCAATACATTTACTCAAGTACAATTATGAAGTACTTTTTCTACTCCACCACATCTCAGAGACAAATATTGCACTTTTTACTTTACCACATTTACTTGATTCATGAGTTAGTTCTCAGATTCTGATTATTAATACAAAACATAAATCAACGAAGAAATGATAACATATTATACATTAAATTACTCAACAGTATGTCAAGTAATTCAAATGAGCTCCATCTTTACCAGCTGCAACATGTGTGCACCAATAATTACAATCCATAATATATATATACACATACATACATACGTATACATACATATACATACGTATACATACATACATACACATACGGAGTATTTCTACACGGTGTTATAACTACTTTTAGGAGAGTAGTTACAACTGTAAGTACTACTAACTACTACTGTTACTATCCTAACTTCAGAGGATGGCCACGCTGGGTTCACGCTCCTCAGTGGCAGTGATCTACCTCACCTTGTTGTTGGTTTTCAGGTACTGAATGAGGTTTTCCACCGCCTTGAGTCGGACCTCCTGGTCCGGTTTGGCCAAGTCCCAGAAGAAGTCGAGGAAGACGCGGTTCTGTTGCGGGATTCCGGTCGGTTTGACCGGCTCCGGTACTGTCACGGAGAGCACCGCCATCTCTACAGACATATCCTCACAGCACCACAACGTCTGTACATGCTGCTGCAGCAGGAAAACACGTGTGTCTAACCTCGAGGCTACCACTTCCGGGTCAACCCATTTTTTCACACAAAACTTTATTGAACAATGCAAAACAGAGTTACAAAAAATTCGAACACAAAAGTAATGATGAAACAACACTACTACTACTACTACTACTAATAGAGTAACAGTAGAAATACCAGTTGAATTGAATTAGATTAGTGCTTAATGCAAGTTGCGGTTTCTTTAAAGTCTGTTACTTATTTCTTTAATGTAAAATTTCTTATATTGTTAAGTCTTCCATCTTTTTTTGCTTTATGCTGCCATCTTGGCCAAGACTCCTTTGTTAAAGAGATATTAATTCTCAAAAGGGAATATTTTGGAAAAATAAAGGTTAAAAATAAAATAAAGTTTCCACATCATACCTGTGCAAGTTGTGGTGATGTAATGATTGAGATGAGCACGGAGAAACTTTCAGCAGATTAAAGTGAAAACAGTGTTCTTGTGCCAAACATCCCTCTGCACAGTGAAGCGCAGACATCAAAGTAAATGAACAATAGGCCAAACATTTGAGTGGAGTCAGACTTTAAAGTTGCAGAAGGCAAATACAAAAAACAGACACAGCAGAGAACACACTTATTGGAACTGAAACGGGACAAAAAGCCTGAACAACAATTTTATTTTTCCATAAAAAGATCTTTATTAAAACAGCATGCAAATTCCATTATTCCCAGACCAGATCATTGAGTGGCAGAGGGTGAGTTGAGGTTGCAAAAAAGAAGAGCAGTCAGAGTCAGACAGGATCACGATCAGAGAGCAGTTTCTTGGGTCTCTTCTAGTCGAGCGGAGCAGCCAGCACAGTGTCCAGGGATCTCTGAGCCTCGCTGATCTGCTGCTGCAGTCTCTGCTTCATGGCCTCGTTCTGGGCCTTCTTCAGCATGTCCTGCATGTCTCTGATGGCCGCCCGGTAGCCCGGGGCGTTGTGAAACACTCGGATGGCCTTGTCGCCGCTGCACGCCAAGAAGCGCCCGTTAATGTCAAATCTCAGGTCGTTGATCTCCTCGCTGTGGACGCCGTGCAGCTCCTCCTCCAGCTGGCCGGTGGCGGCGCTGTACATGGCCACGTTGCAGCCGTCGCTGACGGCTACCACCCGTCCGTCCGGAGACAAGGCCACCCGGCTGCCTTCAGAGGACACACAGGGGACCGTCCTCAGGAGGTAGGGGTCCTGCTGCTTTTTGTACTCCACGTCCGTGTCCCACAGCTTCCACGTACCGTCTTTGGAGACGGTCACCATTCTGATCAATAAAAGGAAGGAATACACGTTGCATATTAAAAACAAGAGATGCTGAGAATGGAGATTCTTTGATTTAGAGATGGCTTCTATGAGCCATCTCTGGCTTTGTATCATCATCAGAAACACCTTTGTTACCTGCTAGAGTCGTTGGAGAAGGCGAATGCGTGAACTCCTGCAGAGTGGCCCTTCAGGTCAAACGCTCGCGCCACCTCTTTGAACTCTCCGCCCTTCCCGAAGCAAACCTCCCACACCTTCACATCAGGAGTGAAGCCACACGACGCTACGAACCTGAGAGCACAGAGACGCACACACATTACATCTCCACACAAGTCACATATGTAACCACACCCAGCAGTGATGTCACAGGGTCCTGGAGTACACCTGTGTATCACTGCAGCAAGGTGAGACGTTAAAGGACAGAAACAACCAAAAAGGTGTTTAGTCGAGCTTTAAAATACATTTGAACGCATGCAAAGGCCGAGCTCGAGCCGACATTAGGTCAGACTATTGTGTTGGCACCAATAACAGCTTCAGAGAGTTGTACAATCTTCCCTTAAAGTATCATTTTGTAGAGATCTGTTTTGAGCGGGGAGGGACTGACCTGCCACACGGGGAGACGGCAGCATAAGAGTTGGTTATCTGGTTGGTGTTGATGGAGGCCAGTACGTCTCCTTTCAGGTCCCAGATGTGGATGCTGGTGTCGATGGAGGCGCTCATTATGAACTTGCCTGCAGAGAACAAGCACAGAATCAGGTTATGTCTGCACCACAAGTGTTTCAGACTGGTGACAAACCACCTATGAAACTCTAAGGATGTTGAAAACATCTTTCATCACACAACTTCATTTTAAAGAGATTTCTTTCAGCAGTAATTCTGCACTTGTGAAACGGTTTCAGTACCCTGTTGGAAAGGGTAAGTACAGCGTACACTTTAACAGATATTGATGTTTTTAGGTGAACCTTCTGTTGAGGTGCTGTCACAAAATCCCCAAAAACCGATCTATCCCTTTTAGACAGTTTGTGTGTACCTGTCTCTGCAATGCCGATGTTGAGGATGGGGGCCTTGTGCTTCTGTGGGAAGTCCTCAGAAGCAGCTTTGAAGGACAAAGTGCCATCCTCCTTTTTGACCATTTTAATGATTCGGATGGTGTCTCCATTGGCCAACCAGGTGATAAACGCCCTGCAGTGAAGGAGGTGGTGGGATTAACATGCGTCTGTATCCAAAAATGACCTCAAGTTGAACCAACGCAGACTTCTGATCTGGTTATATACTTTACTGGTGTCTATTAAAACACAGTCTGCATTTGAATATTGCAGGCCAACACACAAAATCCTGATTTAGAGAGTAGTTGTCAAGAGTTTGTAAGAAATAATCCCTTTTTAAAAAGTTTAAAGGTAGATAGGGAACGCTTTAAGTCAAGGAGGGTTTGCACAAGTACAGTAAGAGAGAGGGGGGGAGACCTGGAGTCTGGGCTGAAGCGGACTAGTGTTGCGTAATCCAGATCCACATTGGCCCTCAGGCACTTGTGTTCCCGATCCAGGAAGTCTTTGGTGCTCCAGATGCGGACGGTGCGGTCATCTGCGCATGACGCCAGGTACTTCCCGTTACTGCTGAAATCCAGGCACGTCACGTTCGCACTGTGGCTCTGAAGAGTACACGAACACAAACACACACACGATTTAAATGCATCACAAATATAGTTGCCAGTTTATTCGGGCCATCTAAATAAAATGAATGCATTTGATTACAACATTACAATTTTATTTTCATTAGAAATGCACAGATTGATCGGCCCCCTGTTTAACATATACGATTTTTTGACAGTCAAATTTACACAGTACAGCCACACACACACACACACATACACATACACACACACACACACACACACACACACACACACACACACACACACACACACACACACACACCATGACGTCGGTGTGGACTGTGAAAGTTCTTCAGCGTGAGCTAACACATAAAGCTCACATTTTTTTAATAAAAGCATGTTAGATAGAGTGGGATATACTGCAATTAATTTTCAGTTGGATTATATTTTTCCAGTAACATGGTAGATTTGTTTGAGTGAGAGAAGGTCCTGTAACTTGGTGCAGTTTTGGAGACACACAGCGTGTGTGTGTCTGTGTCTTACAGCATGTGTCTTACAGCGCGCGTGTGTGTGTGTGTGTCTTACAGCGTGTGTGTGTCTTACAGAGTCATCGTGTGCTTCAGTTTACCTTCAGTGAGGCTGCCAACAGCTGATGACTAAAAGTGTGCTGTGAAGCTTTATCCTTACGGCTGCGCTGCTTCTCCTGCTTTGGTTTCTTCGATGCAGGAACCTTCGCTACACTGCCTACAGCTGAAAGACAAAAATAACGGGGTGAGGTGACATAGCGATGACATGGATTTTGTAGCATCTGGTAACAGACAACAAACCTCTAAAGTAGTAATAATGACATCAGACACTAAAATGTTTAATTATTTTGCTGCACACTTTATATCCCGATTCCAATAATTTCAACGCTCGACTATCCGTCTGTTTCTATATTAAAGTCTGAAAATATTTGATATTTGTGTCTATCTTCCCATTCAATAGTCATTCAGGTTGAACCATTGTGCAGCGGTTTGTTCTGCATGTACAAAACAAACCCTTCATAGAAAACAACATCCATTTGTAAAGGGTACTTTCTCCAACCTCGAAGACAATCCTAATTAAATTCCCATTTATGTTAACATAATTAATAGTCAATGACCAGACTAAAGAGCAGACATCCCATTGGTCCGTCAGTGAAACCTTCGCCGATTGGTCCATCACTTAAACTTGCGTTAGTTTCTTGCTTCGTGAGTACGCGTGTTGGCGTGAACGAGCAGGTGACGTTACACCATCTAGTGTTCACGCTCGTTATGAATGAATGAATGCACGTGCGTGCGTCAAGGTGTCAAAGACCACAGGAACAGTGAGAGTCAGAGTTGGTGACTCACCACTCCGGCTAGAGTTACGTTAGCTAACGTTCAGAATGTCTCTTACCGGCAAATTCCGCCGCCTGCTCTATTTCCTCTCTTATTTCTTCTTTCCGTCTGCCCACCGCTAATGCCACCAGAATAATCAGTGCACCCAGTAACAGAGTCACGGCGAACAGTGCGGCTACTTCCATGTCTAAAGTTTTATGCCACGTACTTTAAAACTGCTAACGTCTTACTTGGCTACTATTCGCAACTGAGGGTACTGCGCCTGCGTCGATAGCTGCTTGTTTTCTTCTTCGTCGGTTTAAATGTTTAACGGCAAACAAACGAGATAGCCGCCTTTAGCGCCACTTAACGGACGGGAGGCTTGGAGCTCTGCACAAGCAGAAAACAAAACTTTATCTTTGCTAAACCTGTTTCTTTAACAATGATGGGTGGTGTACTTTTAATAGGTACATATATCTACCAGGATGTAGCAGTACCTAATAGATTGAACGCCAACCTATATTCTGTAATTAGACTGCTGTCAGTCAGCTACTTGCAATGTTAGCCTTAGTCATCTTCAAATTCTATTTAATATTATCCATAGTCACCATTATTTTTTCAGTTTTTACTTGATTACCTTACATTTGCAATAACTGCAATGTTAATCACTTCACATTTTCATTACCTCAAACTATTAGTCTATCAGAAAACAAAACATAATTATTCTTTAAGTTTATTAATGGCATTTTAAAGTCTACGTTTGACTTTATTTGTATAACAGACATATTGCACTTCTACTGGTTTGTATTGAACAGTAATGAAACTATGAAGATCTCTTGTATACCAACTATAAAAAAAACTGTATACTGCTAATATTAGTATGTAGTATGGTTGGTAAGTATACGAGTCACATGAAGTCATCATGGGAGAACAGTAGAATAATGGGACCTTGCGGATGTAATTTGTGTTCTTGTTGGAACATCTATGTCCAAAATTCATTTTTTATTAATTCAAAATTCACCATCAAAAAACTGCATCAGATACTGCTCACGCTTCACAACGGTGATTTTTTTTTTTTTAAGAACTGAAATCATTTTAATAAAATAACTTTGATGGCCGACATTAATGGTTTTACTGACATGTTTGTTTGACAATATTCTTCAACTCGTGGTGCAAGTGAGACACAGTAGACTACAAAAATCCCTGTATCATAGTGAGAATTTCCGTGATAAACAGACCATTATTAGTAAATTATGGTTATGTGGTGTAACCTAATATAATAGCGATATTCCAGAAGTGGGGATAATATGTTGCTTTGCAGATGTTTGAAAACCTCACTGTATTCATTAAAGGTACATCTGTATTAACAGTAGTTAAAAAGTAAAATCTAATTCGATCTAGTCGATCCCGTCAGATTTCTTTCTCAGTGAAGTAACAGATTCAGTGCCTGGAGGAAAGAGAGGTAGTCTGGCACAAACACACATCTCAGGATGTAAAGATGAGATCACAGATTCTTTTCACAGGCATGAAGTTGAAGAGTTGGCTTTGGTTTAGTCAGCACAAGTTAAGAGAAGTCATCCTAATCACTGACCTGCTCATTACATCAGTGTTGGCAGTCAAAAAAAAACAAGGCCGTCCATGAGCGGACTCTGGGAATGCTTGCAATGACAAAAGAGTATGAAAAAAAAAAAAAAAAAAAGGAACACAAGGGTCTGCGCCAACTACATTAAGACATTTACTAAGTCGCCCTTCAAGTGCAGAAAACACATTCATTTACAGGGTCAGAGAGCCAATTAAAAAAATAATTTAAAATGCAAACGTCTCATAACTTTACATTTACACTGCAGTGTTGTGTACCTTATCTGAATCAACCGAGCATTCCGCCCTATTCAGACTCATTCAGATAATGCACTCAAATACTCTGTAATATACAAACCAGTGAGCGCTTCACGTAAAAAAATAAACGCTTGAGCCGTGAGCTCCGTGTCTTTGCCTGACTCAACTTCCTCCTTAAGACGAACCAATGAGAGTGTCCACATACTATAAAGAAAAAAAGAAAAAAAAAGAACTTTGGATATGCTTTTGTTCAAAATCAAAACTACTGAATTGTCTTTTCTCTCTTCAAGTATAGTACATTGTTATGGATTCTGTCTCCTCACTGCTACATTCCCTCTCTGGGTCATGTAGTCATCCAGGCAGCATTAACTCAACCAGCCGGTGTGCTCTTTCTAACTCCTCTGCAAACGCAATGCTTTTCGGGGCCAGCACACCCCACCGGAGGAGGGGAAGGGAGCAGAGGGCATGGTTTCGGCCCGGTTGTTTGGGGGGTGTTGGGTTTAGAAACAGAGCAATGTTAGCCAGATTAACCGGAGCAGCGACAGCTGGAGTCCTGTGAAAGCGGTGCCGGACACATGTAGCCAGTTACTTCTTCCTGTTGTGTTGCCTCCGCGCCTGCAGCCTCTGGCGAGCTCCAGATGGCTTTGATCCGGCTCCGATAGAGAAGGAGGGTGTCGCTGGAGACCCTGTGGATAAAAACAAACAGGACGTGTCATTTCTAATGATCCTAACATTTCTTTCTACTTCTAACAATTTCACATACATTTCAGTTCGGGTTGCACCCGAGTTTCCCAAGGGATTCACCCAAAACAGGCTCTGAATTTTATTTAGTTAGGGTCAGATATAACCTAAAAGCAGACCACACTTTCGTAAACTTTGAGCTGCATGGCTCCTGACACCACATTGGTGATTACACTGAATGACGTAACAGTAAGCTCTGCCAGAGTCTTGTCTATGTTGGGAGCAGATAACTTCTCTAGTAAGCTCTGCCAGAGTCTTGTCTATGTTGGGAGCAGATAACTTCTCTAGTGTATGAGTATACAAACACATGGGGTAAGAAACACGGCAAGCATCTTGCTACTAGGGCTTGGTGTACAGACGAATATATCAGCGATTGGCCGAGTACATCACCGCTTGTTTATCATTTTATTTAGCTAATTTAATGGTCGGTCTCTGAAGAACGAGAGTCGCTCAGCCGTGGCTCAACAGCTTCTACTAATCATCAACACCCTTTACCTGCTGTGAAAAGCCTGCTCAGCTGGGCTTAACGATTGCCACCCCAATCAAATAAAAAAGCATTCATGACTTACCAAAAGGAACAGCGTTGAAGTTTTGGACTGGAGTCCCAGGGCTTCCAAAGGGAATGGGACCTGCAGCAGCAGCAGCAGCAGCACTCTGGCCGAAGGATGGGGTAGACGTCCCTGCACAGAGAGCAGTACACAACGTGAACAAAACAAAAATAACCGTGGATACACCATTCAATTCTACTGGGACAGAAACAAATGTAGACCAGTCCTTGAAGAGGTATCAGAATATCGTTTTTTGATCAAGAGGCCACAGACACTGAAACGTGAGGCAGTGAACCTGTGCCTGTATAGCATTGATGTCCAATTTTAAATAGTGAACTTTGATGGCCCAGAGTGTTTGACAGATGACGTACTCTCTCAATTTTACTAATTGTGAAAGCTAAACCCGTCTTTCTGACTCTGAATGTGCTTCTTTCAGAAATCTCACTGTAGCTGGGTTAAAAATATAAACAAGCAACATAAAAAAAAAAACGTACCAAATGCGGGTTTGTCAGTAGCAGCAGCCCCAAAGTTGAAGCTTCCCATCTGTGGTGCAGGATTATTGGGGGCCGGGGTTCCAAACTGGGGGCATGGCATCCCGGCACCAAAGTTAAATCCACCGGGTGCTGGCTGAGCGGGGCCGGAGGGAGCCTGCTGAGGAGCAGCGCTGCCGAATGTGAAGCCTGCTGAGGAGGAGCTCTGAGTCTGAGTCGCTGCACCGAAGCCCGAGGGTGCAGCTGAGGGAGCAGTGGTACTACCGAAAGCAAAACCAGTGGCGCTGGCTCCAAATGCTGGTTTAGCTGGGGTCCCAAAGCTGGTTGCTGTGGTGACAGCAGCTGACCCGAAAGGGAAAGGAGGAGGGGCGGTGTTAGAAGGTGTGGATGAGGCCACCCCGCTGCCCCCAAAGCTGAACTGTTTCGGGGCCGCCGCCGAGGAGCCGAAGGTCGCCTGCGCCGCCGCCGAGGAGCCGAAGGTCGCCTGCGCCGCCGCCGAGGAGCCGAAGGTCGCCTGCGCCGCCGCCGAGGAGCCGAAGGTCGACTGCGCCGCCGCCGAGGAGCCGAAGGTCGACTGCGCCGCCGCCGAGGAGCCGAAGGTCGACTGCGCCGCCGCTGAGGAGCCGAAGGTTGACGGTGCTGCCGTTGCCGCTGAGGAGCCGAAGGTTGACGGTGCTGCCGTTGCCGCTGAGGAGCCGAAGGTTGACTGCGCTGCCGTTGAGGCGCCGAAGGTCGACTGCGCCGCCGTTGCTTGAAACGACGGCTTTCCAAAGGCGAAGTTGGACTGGGTGGTGGCGGCAGCATTGGTGGCAGCCGTGTTGGTCATGGCAAAACCTCCAAATGAAGCAGTGGTTGTGTTCTGGCTGGGTGCTGCCTGGCCAAAGGAAAACACCTTCTGGTTTGCTGCTTGAGGGTCCGGCTGTGTGGCACCAAAAGCGAAAGCCCCGTTGCTGGAGGTTGTGGTGTTGGCAGCAGCGGGGGCGGCTGCAGTAGTGGTGGTAGCAGTTCCAAACTGAAATGTGCTCCCTGTATTAGGGGCCTGCACTGACGCTGAGCTGGTACTTGTTGTGGATGGTGCAGACCAGTTTCCAAAGAGGGATTTCACAGCTGGCTGGCCTGCAGGCTGTGTGGTGGGGATGGAGCCGGTGGAGGCTGTGCAGGTGGGGACATTGGTCATGCCGGGGAAACCGGATGGGGTAACTATGGTGCTGCTTGTAGATCCAAACATTGAGGATCCGCCACTTAAAGAAACTGTAGAAGGTGGGTTTGTGGTTGTGTAGGGTGGAGGCGGTCCAAAGCCGGAGCCTGCAGTGGCAGCTCCAAAGATGGGCTTGAAATTTTGGGCAGGAGGTTTGCTCTCAGTGGCTGAAGTAGCTACGGGGGTGGAGGTGGTGGTGACAGAAAAAATTGGCTTGAACCCTGAAGCCAGCAGAGGGTTGGTATTACCGACTGACGCTGAGCTGCTGGCTGGAGCAGTCGCAGTGGCCGTGTAAGAAGCAGTGGGGGAGCTGATCTGACTCGCCAATCCAAACAAGCCTGTTCCTGTGACAGGTGTAGTGCCGCTGGAAGCCTTAGAGACCTGACCCAGTACATGAGTAAAGGCAGAGGGCTGCGCCACACCTGCAGAGGAGGAATGAGACTGGGAGGCGGGAGGGAGCTGTGGGGTCACCACTGGAGTCGAAACCTTCAGGGTTAAGCCACTGGATTGTACCGGTGTGGTGGATGCAGCACATGTGGCGCTAGAAGGAATACTGATCTTCATCTTCAGAGCCTCCAGCAGTGGGTTCGGGGCCGCGGGGGTCGTGCTGACGCTGCTGCCTGGGCTGGGGTCCAGATTGATGACCGGGATGGCAGAGCTGGAGGCCGTGGGCAGAGGAGCTGCTAGAAGGCTGCTCAGGGTGGTGGTGCTGGTGGAGCTGTAAGAGGTGCCGAGCTGGGTGGTCATGGCGGCCGGGGGGGAGGCAGACTTCTCCGGCTCCGGAGCTGAACAAGGACAAATCAACAGGGAGGTCAGGCTGGTGGCTTGCAGAGGCAATAAGTGAAAAGCTGCTTTACTATTAGGAAGATCAACTCTATTACACAGTGACTTTTCCAGTGTTTGACTCTGTATGTGTGAATAGAGGGAAACCATGCAGCATGACTCAACGAGTGCAGAAGTTAAAGAAGAAGAGTTAAATGGTTTATTCCTGTGGCTGCTTCCACTCACCGGGCATCTCCAGGACCTTCTGGATCTTGCTGAGGGCAGCTCTTTTCTCTTCATCGAGGTCTTTCACAGTGATGGTGTAGCCCAACTCCGGAGGCGGAGGCTGCAAAATCAACGAACACAGGGAGTTAAGAAGAGAAATCTAGGTCGCTGTAATGCAGGACTATATAAACAAGGGAAGTCTGACAGTGTACCACTCCTCACCAGAGAGATGTGATCGTCCCGGTGGCTGGACACCAGCTGGATCTTGCGTTTTCTCTTTCCACCACTACCAGCAGAGTCTGTTGAGGTAGTGACTGGGACCTTGGGGACTGGAGTCAGTTTGGCTGAAACATTGTGATATATAAAAAAAAAAAAAAAAAAAAAAAAAAAAAAAGGGACAATGAAACTAAATCCAACTGAAAGACATAACATAGTGTCTACTTCCATACAACCAACTCTCAGTTTTGGATAGGGACGCACTGATCCGATATGGTGGACCAGTATCTGCACTAATACTGACCCCGTTAAGTGGATCAAGTATCGCCCAGACATGACCTAAACTCTAGTGTCTAACCCGAGTTGAGGCATCTGAATTATTATTTAGTCAGATCAGTGCATCTCTAGCTGTTGGTACCATGTTGAACTTGCAGGAGATTACTGACGTGCATCTTATGTCAACAGCTTAACACGGGAACACTGCTGTTAATCAGGTCAAGAGTTTCACACACTGGGCAAAGTAAGTTCTATTAATAATGTTAACAGTCCTGCATAATCTGCAGCAGAGCCGCACATCTGAGTCTGAGGAAGTCATTTGTTTACTACACAAGACGGCCATTGGACATAAATGGGACTTACAAGTAACTGGTGGGTTGTATGAGGCCGCCTGGTCTGACCTCACAGAGGATGCTGAGCTCGGAGACAGCCCGTCGTCCTCTCTATGAAACCACAAGTTACAAACTGTAATATTAGATTGAATGTGGACAACTAGCAGGAACGCGGCAGAGAGACATACCTGGGTCTTTTGGAGGCTCCCTCTGGAGTCTCCGAGCGAGATGATCCGGGACTGGACAGAGGGGAGCTGGGTGCTGACCGCTTCTTCCACTGTGATTGTAAAACATGGAGATAAAGCTTAATAACTCCCCTCTATCTGTGCAGGGCTATGTGCACTCTAATGCAGTGTATAGTTGTTACCTGACTGAGGCCTAGTGAAGAACTGTAGGAGCTCTGGATGGGGTTTCTCCTTGTGCCCGGGGTTCCTCTTGGGGCATGGGCCCCACTGCCAGAGCTGATGGAGGATGTGCGAGACCTCTTCATGATGGAGTCTTCCGCCAGAGAGGCTATCCCTCTTTTCAGGTTTCCTGGCCTGCAGGAAGGAAAGGAAAGCATTTCCACCTACATTTAGACGGCCCCACTATACTTCTTACAGTGTTTTCACAGCGTTAAATACATAGTCAGTAAAACTGCCGTCACTTCAGTAAAAGTTAAACTTACTTAGGGACCAGCTGTGATGGTGTCCCGTTGGGCAGAAGAGGCTCAAAAGCAGAGTGTGCACTTCCACCGCTGTCATTACGCCTATAGGGGAATGGGAACGGGATTACAAACACGCATAACACTTCAACTGACTGACTGCATGAACACGGTCCTACAGAGCACTTAGTTGGAATATATTGATGCATGTTATAACGGGAAAGCTGTAGCCTCGCTAACCAGACTGATGTCACTTATACCGCAAGAAGGTATTCAGTTTGATAACACTAGAGTCTCCTTTCAGCTTCGTACCTTCTTTTGCTTTTCTGCTCAGTTGTTAAGCTTTTGTCCTCGTCCTCCACTTCTCTCTTGCGGCTTTCCTTCAGCACCTTGAGGACACTTTCTCTGGAGCAAGGGTCCACGGGGGCCCTGGGGAGCCCTGCACAACTCAGATGGTCCAAACTAAAAAAAAAACAAAAAAACGGTCCGGTCAGAGTTACCATTCTAACAGCAAAGCCACAGCAACACAACCAACAAAATCAGGCTGCAGATTAAGTGTTGACATGAATGTAGAGACCTGGGGGAGCTGTGGTGGTGGTGGTCCGGCCGGGCGATCTTCACAGTGACGGGGCTGAGGATAGCCGGAGAGTTTCGGGGGCTGAGGATGTTCTTCTTCCTGAAGCCTAAATCCCACTGGACAGGAGGCAGGACTCCCACCAAGGAGGCTCCTTGCTGCTGCAAGGGATAGTGACGCTGGGGGGTGATGGTGAATCTGCCAGCTGTGCCCAGAGGCTCCCTGAAAAACAAATATAAAGTAAGAGTAGATGCATGCTACCTGAATACAATAACACACATCTTCAATAAAAGATATTGTTGTGATCCCACAGATGTCTACTTTCTGAGAAGTAGAAGCCATTATTCTGGTTCACAGATTGACAATATTGCTATTTTCTCTATCCAGTATCCCTTTTAGAGGCAGCTACTATATACATTTTAAGTATCCTTAACGTTAATAATTAACGTTTAAAAAAAACCGCCAAGAAATTGAACCGTTATCTTCTGGACGCCACCGCCTCCTGACTGTAACGTGGTTTGGTTATGAACTCACCCAGCAAAAGACAGCCTCTTGTTGGGGCTGTAGACAGCATGGTTGGGTCGGGACAGTTTCTCCCGCAGCTGCTCTCGGGGGTTTCTCCCCGCTCTCGGCCTCACTGAGCCGGCGATTGGACTTTCGGGTTTCCCGATGTAACTCCCCATGAGGAAATCCCGAGGGCTGAAAAGAAAAGAGTCACTTGCCAAGGATTCCCTCCGATAAATCCCAGTTTCAACTATCCTTTCTCTGAAGTCTCCCTCTACGTCACGGAGCTCGGTTTTGTTTCTGCCGCTCTTGGTTCTCCCCCGCGCGGCCACCGACACGCCGGTTACCCCCCAACCCCACAACCAGCGCCGGAGGACGGACGGGAGGTTCACTCCAGGTCGCGGATTGAGGCCTAGCCTGGCGGGAAGCGGTTCTCCGCTGAGATAATAAAACACAATACAACACACAGCGATAATTAAAGTCACGAAAATAAATGTAGGAATAAAATAAAAAGCGAGAGTAACTATGCCTAGAGCTAGAAGAATCACTAAATGTTTCTCTCTAGGTGACATGGCGGCAGCGCGCCGCCGGAGGACTCTCATATCCCATCATGCTGCTCTTCTGACGCTACTTCTTCTTCTTTGGTTTTAAGGGGTGATGGACGGTTTGGTGCTGCAGCGCCACATAGCGAGCCGGAGTTGAATCATACTGTAGAGAATGTATTACAAAAAACACAAATTTCTTGATATTGAATAGTGAGACAGAATGGAATGATCTGCCATTGTGCATGCACATAGAAAACCATTGCTAACAATGTAATAGAGCTGTTATACAATTGACTGAACAAACATATCAAGTCCATTAAAGTAGAACTGTATTTGTTCTCAGACACAAGATTTAAAAAACAGACAAGGCAGTGACATATATATGTGAAAACATAGAGTACATAAGTAAGTAAAAAAAATAGGTTATAAGTTGAAAGCAATATAGAGAAAACTTGGTTGGGTGGTCAAGCTGATATTTGGATTTTAGAAGAGAAATGACTGAGGGTTTGAAAGACTGTTTGCATCTGTGCAGCTTTATAAAACAAAGTCAACATCTAACTTAGCTAGCTTATTCAGACATAGAAGGCACTGTTGGGGTTTTTTCTGAACATATTCAGCTATAGAGATTTCAACCAATCTCACAATCTTTATCACCATATGAAGTTTGCTCAGTTCTCACAGTCAGAGCTCATTTGGTATCAACAAATGTTATTATTATGTGGGGGAGTCTTAAAATATTTGTATTTTACTTGAGAATTTTCATTTTATTCTACTTTATACTTCTACTCCTCTATTCATCTAACAGCTTTAGTTCTTTGCAAAAATAATAATAATGTGATCAATAATTAAATGAGCTCTACCTCGACCAGCTACAACAATGCCATTCTGCATTTCAGTAAGAATCATTCAATAATGAAACATGAATTAACAAAGCAGTGACAGGGTCATTGCTGATGGTACTACGATGACAACCACAGTTCCATTCGCTGAATGAAGACCACAGAGTTGAACAAACTGGTGTTGAAAGGTCCAGAAAAAGCCAGGATGTAAGTGGACCTTTCAGTTAAGATTATTTTGTTCCACACTACTTTTTAATTTGCCCAGAAATGATCACAGACAGGAGGGTTCAACAGGATGTTTATTTTTAATTAAACGCAACATAACAATTTTCATAATGTGACAATAAAAACAAACCTTATTATACCCACGACAGAGCAACATAAATTATGGCTGCCCAGAGATTAATACTCATGAAGTATGAATGTTATAATTTATCAGGGAATATCACTTGAAGTCACTCATTATATGCGATGTTAAATGGGCAATCCTAAAGATTTCAGTCCTTGTTGATTTAGAATTTCTATCTACATAAAAACAATGAAATTATGCTCAGAGTGTAACAGTCTGGAGTCATAAACTTCAAGTTTTTCGAATTGTTTGCATAGTTTAATTTTTGGTTTGTATACAATGGAGAAAACTGTAATACAGCATTTTATTTCTGGGAATGTCGGCACAGACAGCCAATTTGTAATACTACAGACAATATATTGCAATATTGCAATACTTTCATCACTTAGCCATAGGCTCAATCACTTACTTTACTTAACAGACATTCATCTAAATGAAAATCTTCGAGATTGCCACTTTAACATACAGACCCAAGGACTATTATTTTAGCCAGCATTTTCTAAAACACAACCTCTTGTTTCTTTGCTGTCTTTTGCGCTGAGTGGGGACATTTGGACTTCAAACGTTTTGTCAAATGCACTGTACTCCACGAGAAAAGCTCCTTTCTCCAAGGAAATGCACGACTCAAAGCGGTGGCCCCAGAGAACCTCGTCCTCCGTGTAGGAGGTCCTCGCCTGGCATGTCATGCCTGCAACACAACAAATCATCAGAGAGCCAGCTAAATGTCACTTTATTGGAATGAGACCTGACGAATAAATTAAGCATTCACATCAGGACATATGTAATGTCGCATTTTAAATTGCCTATGACCATTGATATGCATATACAGCTTTTTCACTCCTATTATGGCGATCCATCCACACTTGGCACACTTGGCACCTTATAAGAACAGAGATTCATAATAGTGTTTTGAAACACATCAGAGATCAGAGAGAGTCAAAGTAGAACAGATCTGTATCCTGATATTCAAGCAGCAGGCCATGATCTTTCATCAACGCATCTACTAGATGCACCTTTTAACTCTTTGACAACTCTTCTTTTGAGGAAGAAAATGATCTAAAATTGCAACGTTCTGAAATGTACCTGCATTGGATATGAACTTAGTTGGAGGACAGCACAAGACACAAACACTTCTACAGACCTGATGCTTCCACGATGCCCTCCAGGATGACAATGATCTCAAAGGTCTCCCTCTTCAAACGCTCGGACCCCAACTCCCAGAAGGGGCTGCTTTTATTGATGACGTGGGTGATGGTCTGGGGTTCCACCAGGAGCAGCCTGTCCCCCCCGGTGTCGTAGCCCAGGTTGATTTCCGACTGCTCCAGTGGGATGAACTCGCCCTCCTTTGTCTGCCTGGACTTGATCAGCTTGGCACGGATTTTGGCATCCACCATGTGGCTCACTCTCAGATCACCAATGCGGAAGAGCATGCACAGCTTTTCGTCACGCTCACATATGACGCAGTGCTTGCTGAAGGTCAGCGTCTGGGCTCTCTGCTGTGGCCGGGAGATTTTAACAAACATGCAGCCCACCATCAGAGCATCGATAATGGAGCCAAGGATGGACTGGACCATCAGGATTACCGTACCCTCGGAGCAGTTGGCTGTCACCATCCTGGAGCCGTACCCAATAGTCCTCTGGCTCTCCAACGACAGCAGCAGGGCTGAAAGGAAACTGTCAACATTTTGGAAACATGCCTTCCATTGTGGGTCGTGAACATGTGTAATGTCGTCACGCAACCAGGCACCGAAGAAGTAGATTCCACCAAAGGCCACCCATGTGAGAATGTAGCACATAGTGAAGACGAGAAGGAACCAGCTAAACTTGAGATCCACTAATGTGGTGAAAATATCTGAGAGGAAGCGACTCTTGTCTGCAATAGGTCCCAGATTGACCCTGCACTTGCCATCCTTGGTGACGTAACGTTGGCGCAGATTGCTGGCGGTGACATACGGTGAGTGCTCATCACCCAGGAGCTTACAGCGCTTCTTGTGACTCTTTGCAACATGCAGCTTCTCGATGGCAGACACGGGAATGTTTCCGCCGCTGCCAGTGGAGCCTACCGGTTGCCACCTCGAGCTGAAGCGCTTGAGGCCTTTGCTGCGATGCAAACGCTGAGGCTTTGGCGTCTCCTCTCCTGGTTCCAGAGGAGCTGCTTGGATAGTGTGCGGTTGGGGTTGGGGCTCTTGCTCAGCCAAAGTCAGAGCGTGAGAGGACTGGCTGCAGGAACTCAGGGAGGGGGAGCCCTCCTGGGATGGTGGGAGTGATGAGCACTTAGCATAGTTCAAGTTGTGGATGAGAGAGGTTCTTTTGGTGGTCCTTATGGCAGCAACAGTGGATTTAGCTGTAGCCTGAAATGAAGGAAGATGATGCATCACAAAAGTACAAAACCATTTAATAAATGATGAGTAGATTCATAAGTTTTGTCCTATTGTCCTATTCTAAAGTGTCCAGAATGTGGCAGAGTAATGTGGCTGTAGATGTGGCCATGTTGTGCTAGATACTGGAGGACACCACCAGTGTATCTTTTATAGATCCAAAAATTAAATTGACTGAGGCCAGGCGCCATGATCTGATCTAAAGGTGGGGACTGGTGCCATGGACCACAATGTATGGTTTCCAAACTAGTTCAAAACCATCTTGTACATTAAACAGGTTTGAGGTGAGCACAAAGAAACGGTTCCTTTTCAGCAGACTAATGTGAAAGCAGCATGATACATCTTTCTGCACAGTGAAACTCAAACATCCAAGTGAAGTAACAGTAGGTAAAACACATTTTTGAGTGGAGTGGGACATCACATAATTAAAGAAAGCTGTACTTTGAAGGTGCAAGGAGTGCAACGGTTGGATTCAGACTGTGGTTGGGGCAGGTATGCCATCAGATGTTTAGCAATGAGAGTCTGCACTGGGGGGATGGAGGTCCTGCGAGGCTCGTCCCTGACGGGGCTCCTGATGGGACTGTTGCACTGAACGTTCTGTAGAGTCTCTTTGCTGCACATCACAGTGGAGATCATTGCTGAGATCCTCCAGATGTGGATTTCACTTCAGGTTTTCCGTCTGTTTGGGCAATGAAATTAAAGTGAATAACGTCAAATATGTCCGTTTTTAACAGGCAACTGAAGCTCCCTTGTAAGTGTTGCTTCAATACTTCTATACAAGGGTTGTGGAAATGGATAAGAGCACAATAATGATAATTTAGACAGTGGTGAAAGCACTCAAGAGGTTTGGAGATTCATTCCTCAACCTCCAATTCCTTATCTTTATTTAGATTTTTCTGCCACCCTTCTACGAACAAATCTCTGAGATCACCCTAGATACGCTTATTGATGACGCTGTGATGATGCCAAAAGCAAATGTTGCTTTACTTCCTCATCAGCATAACATGAGGTCTCATCTGTCTGAAGTGGACTAACCAGTGTCTCAGTCACCGCTCCAATTTATTACACACGTGGGGATTATCTCTAATCCTCAAAATTAATCAGAGAAACACCAAGGAACACGATGGATTTGAAAAGATTACAAGAATTTGCCAGAAGGCTTAGAGAAAGCATTATCCAGATGTGTCCCATTGAAGTGTTGTAAATCCATGTGTCTCTGTTTGAACAGTGCTGTGATTATTGTATCACAACAGTAACAAACAATGTAAAGTTTCTGAATCTAAACCACACATGCGATCCAGTTATGTGGTGCAGCATTTCAGAGCATCCGATCAGATAGACAGGATTTTATCCTCTCAAACAGGCAGAAATAGACATAAATTATTTTCTGAATCTCAGTGTTCCTGGATTACTTTTAATAACTACAAGTTCCTGGATTATGCACAGGTGCTGTGATTTGTTTTGATTTTGTATCTCCTGACGTACGGAGGATGGAATTTGTTTTATCCATACACAAACACAGGTGGCAAGAAAGAAAAACGTGTTTACAGAAACATCAGACATCCTTCGTAATTCTCAAAGAAATAGTAAAATGCTATACTTTTATGTAAATTATGATGTACAAATATTCTTAATATGACCTATAATTTACATGTATTGGAATTAGCCTTTTTTTCTGATGTTATATAAACTAAACAATCAATCAGTTAATGGAGAAAATAATCAACAAAAGATTCAATAATGAAGACAAAATGTGAGTGGCAGCCTTAAAATTATTATTCAGAAATTACAACCCCGTAAAATAAAGCAATACAAAAATAGATTTAATATACCATTGAATCATCAGCTAAATTACAACACATAAACAACTTAAATAATTTAGGTATTTAATAAGTTAAGTTTATAGAACATTAAGGTTACAATGATTTAAATGTTGAAAAATCTGAAAACTACACTCCAGATCTACACAGCAGTTTAAATTGTTAAAAAAATCTAGTATTTTCCTTTTAAAATACTGTTAATTACTGTAACTGTTAACATATGTACACTGGAAATAAAAGCATGTTTACATAACAATCTTTCAAATAAACAAAATGTCCAATATCCATGTTTTTTCCCCAGATTTATCTGCTGAATAGATCCCTACAAAAAGATAGAATAATAACATACCTATAGAGCATACTTTAAGATGAATACAGCTGCTGCCAGAACTCAACTTCCTTGTTGGAGTCATCCAGTTTGATCCGACGAAGGAGGCATGAAGTGAGTGAGGAGGTGCTGCTGTGACCGTCCAGCTGTTTGTCTCCTCCCACCAGCGTCATTCACAGAGCAAATACTGACAAAACTCAACCCAAAACAATGTACCGTACTGCATGTTGTGGCAGCTGCAACTCCAAAGAGAAATTATTATCATGAAGTGTAAAAATAAACTTCACTAAATAGCACTTTTCTTAACTCAGTTTTAAACCATTATTCTCTTTGATTGATCATGTGTGTAAGTTTACATTCCTCCTGAGAAGCAGTAAGGTTTATTTTCCTCAAGAAGTGTCCAAAAAGGAAATGGTTTATCCTCTGACAAGCATGAATGTGCTCTTCCCATTACATTTGTGTCTCTTTGGTTTAGGGGGAAATTTTGGCCTGCTGGTGGTGCAACGATGAGGTCATAGGTGCCTTAAAACATAATGAATCATTATGTGAGGACTGTGAGCTGACTTAAACTTCGAAAGTCATTACACGGCAACTGACTAAAGTGTAGGCAGTTACAATTTCTTCCTAATAACATATCATTATATTCATGAAATCAAAGTTTGCAAAAAATTCTGAAAAGTTGAGTCTTTTGGTTTATTTGGACAAGTAATAAATACATTACAAAGAGTTCTGTTTAATGGCTGGAGAGGCGAGGTCAAGGGTATCTTTGTCAGAACTAAGTGGTCCTTTAGAGGCATTAAGGTTCAAACAAACTTTCTCCTGAAATTACATCAGTACAGAAAAACGGAGACAAGCAACAGAAGAAGTTTGATTAACAATGTGCAGCAAAGTTAACCCTGGATACGACGTCACATGTCAACAGATGGCAGGTCGCTGGTTACACAACCTCAGTTGACTTTGTCGTGGTAAACCCCCAAAGCTATAGGACCTAGGCTGCTGATGTAAAGAAGCCTTTGCGTAATCTCCGCACGACTGAATGCTGATGAGGAACATATCCCACAGATTGATTACAACCAGCTTATACCTCCATCAGACAGGGCAACTATGTCTCTGTGACAAACTGTTGGACCACACATGTAAATGCATATTTTTAATGCAACAGACAACGGAAATGAATAAAGGCATGAATCATATTTTCCTCAGAGGAAAAAGTGCTGTAGTATCTTCTTTTGCTCCAAGTGTCTATTTGATTTTGGTCAAAGCTACAGCTCTCCTCTCAGTATTCTGGAACAAGGCTCGGATCAGATTCTTCACCTCCGAACTGGAGAACTCAAACGCCAGCGGACCTTTCCCGTCAGCCCACCTGTGGAGAGGAACCACAGAACAATCAGCCAATCACACGCATTAAAGGAGAAATACAGTATGTGGTAACCAGAAGCCCTTCTTCCAACACTGAAGAGGCACTCACACAAAAGTGAGTTTTCTAAAAAGCCTAAAAAAACAAGTTTCCTTCTGACCTGTCGACTATCTCCTGCAGGTTGGCCCGCAGCACAATGACCAGCTCCTTGAAGCTACTCCACTTCCTCACATACAGAGGCACTTCCTCCTGATACTTCTTGTTCTTGTTTTCCTCGGCTAGAGGGATGAAGACCAGCGGACCTTCCTCGATGATGGTTTGGCACAGAGTGTGGAGGTGCTCCCCGTCCTCGGAGGAAATATCCTGTAGACGGTCAAAACGAGAAATAAAATCCATCCAAAATGAACCCACAATCAGCAACGGAGTTATTCAAATATTGAATGTTTTTCTGTAGTTTTACCACACTAAGGCCTCTGCATCTGTATAAGCAAAGTCCTACGTTTCTGAAGAGGGACTACCATTTTTTTTTTGAAAAAGGACAAACCTCCAGCATCATGATTTTGGCGATGACCTCTGTGATGGCCGTGTTGAGGAGGTTGCCCATGGCCTTACAATAGATGCTGACTGGAAGGACATCCTGCCACACTGTGCCCAACTGCTTCAACTGATGGATGACCTACAATCAAGCAGACTGATGATTACTGCATGAAAGAGAAGCAGTGCGTGAATGAAAACATGAATTGAGCCTATTATAGCCTGCACTTTGGAACACAATGCAGCCTCACAAATTGAAGAGCTGAAACACTTTTTTTTAATGATACACTCATTATTACACCACGGTTAAATTATATTTTCAAGGTCTTTGCGCTCACCTGTCTTACTGCTTTGCTGGCTGCAATGTAGTTGTCTTCATCATCCAGGTTGCAGAAATTGTGAGTGGTGGAAAGTCTCTCCAACAGCTCCGCTCTCTGGACGTTCATCTGTGCCAAGAAGCACTGGGCGCCTGGAGGAAAAGTGTGCTGAGCATATTTCAAGGCAATCTGCAGATTAGCTGTTGATATATTGTTTGCAAAAGAAATGATGACTTGTTGTCCGTGGACCGTCAATACCCGAGAACAATTGTTGGAGATGAATTTCTGTATTAAATTCAGCGGCTAGTTGGCCAGCAGTTGTAGAACTATTTGTTTACCAAGTTTCCGGAATCCGGGCACCATGTCAACAAATGTTGCAACGCCCTCGCTGAGGGGCTGAGGCAAGCGAGCACTGAAGTGGTGGCCTAGGGTGAGCAGGTGGTGGGCCAAGTACATGCAGTTGTTGTGCTGGATGGCAGCCAGGTGAGGGAACTTGAGCAGGTTCTCCCTGGGTGGAGGAGCAGAGGAAAAAAGGAGGCAACCATTCACACCTTCAGGAGAACTGAGTTGGATTGAATGCTCTATGTTGAATTATGGAAACGTCCTTACTTGTGGTATGTCGGGACGACGTCGTAGAACAGCTGGAAGATGTTTCTCACGGTAAAGAAGAGTTGTAATGCACTGAAAAGAAAGAGGAGCACATGAGCTTTACGGTGCTTTTTAATGATTGGCTCACATCACTGTTGATGCACTAAGAGTCTCTACAAGATTAACAGGAAATGGAATCCCTCAGAGGGGTCTTGTTTTCCCCATTTAGAAACATTGGACTATTACAGGAGAGTTTCAGGGCTCCGAGCGCTGAAACATACCATTGTGTGGAGCTTCCAACAGCTTCACACAGGGTGTTGAGTGCCAGCTCCATCAGCTGCTGCACTGACTCGCTGATGCGACAGGCCGGCAGACACAGGCTCCACGCAGACAGCTGCTTCGTGTTCTCCATCGTCATCTCATCCTTTGTGGTCTCTTGCTTCACCTTCAGCTCTGAAGCTGGGGCCGGCAGCTTGGGCAGACGCAGCTTGTAGTCCGGTGTGATCTAACGGAGGAAGATTGGGGGAAAATAAAGTATGCAATAGCTTGTCAGGCTATGCAAGAGCATTAACCACCAAATATCGGAAATGCAACCTAAAACATGTTTTGCGTTTCAGGCTATAGCAACTGAATCTATATCCAGTCTCCAGGTTATTCATGGGGACATTCAGCCCTGGCTCCTGCATACTTTGATGGTGTTGTGCATCTTGGAGGTCATGAGTTTGCGGGCCGCCACGATGACGTCTTTGCACTTCTTGCTGGCAAAGTGACAGTTGACATCCCTGGCGTATTTGAGCAGCTCCGTGGAATCGCCCTGCAGATACTCCATCTCCTTCAGAGACTTCTCAAACTCCTCCGTTTCCTTAATCACCTTGAAATGCAGGCAACAAAAAAAACATATCCAGTAAAAAAGTAATTACTATATGTTACATCGTTATACCAAACGGAGTGCTGTTAGGTCCTTACAGTGTTGTATTTCTCCAGCTGGCTGCTGTCAGTGGGGATGGAGTAGAGCAGACACTCGTGGATGATGCACTGGGAGATTTCCTCCCAAATCAGCTCCCCCAAGATAGCCGAGAGCTTTTTATCGCCAATGGACACATCTGGAGAATACCAATAATTAAAAACACAGGGACATTAAGCAACATATATCATTTCTATACGGACCCAGCTGTACTGTACCTAGTAGGTGTGAGCGCAGTGTGCTGAGCACCAGGAGCAGCTTGCTGTAGACTTGTGAGGGAGTGGATTTCTCATTGGGGCTCTCCTCCAAACACTGTAAGGCCATGATGGTTCCCTCGCCCTGCTGCTCCGTTACCCTCACCGACAGCGACGGGTACATCACCAAAGGTTTCAACATGGTCTTCAACAGCACCTGACCTGATCGACAACAACAGAAATTAGCACTGAGCAGGTTCTGAGCCGGGAGACATTGTGCTTCAGAGCTAGATCTATGGATTAACCGGGCCGATGCCCACATCAGCAGTTACACAAAACTACAGCGTATAAATGGCAAACATATGCCACCAGAGAGCACTGACTAGATACAGTTTACAACTTTAAAAAGTCCCGCTTATGTTGATGACACGTGTCTGGACGGTATGAAAACACAATTTAAATAGATTATGACAGTACTGCATATCTAACGATGCTCTTACTGAAGAGTTTGATCTTGTGCTGAAGGTCTCCTTGGATGGCCAGAGCTTGCAGGACGCTGCACAGCAGACCAGGTGGTTTCTCTTCACCGTCCTTACTGCACGCATGGCTCAGGTTCAGCTCCACCTTCAGGAAGGACTTCAGACCTGCGGGCTCTGGTGCACACATCTAACGGTCATTACTAATGCATTGCCCTGTGAGTATTGGTTTACAATCTTCTGAATGACCAGTAACACATGTACACAATAGAATGTATGCCTACATGTAGCCCCTGCATGGAAGAAAATACATTCTCAGTAAAGTCACCTGCAACTTTAAGACAACACTGAATGCTGTTACATTTGAAATGTTGTTTGATGAAACTACCTTTTGTAGCCAAGGGTTAAAAGAGTATACTTAATATAGTTGAATTAGTCCCAATATCTGACATACGTATTGAAAAAGTTTTCTGAGAAAAGTCTTACCCTTTGAGGACGGTAATCTCCAGATGACGAGGCTCTTCCATTCGTCTCCAAGGTGGTAAATTAAGTTCTCTCTCTGCACCGTCAACTCAGAGCTGAGAGCGCTGAGCAGCGGCAGCTGGGAAGTCTTCCAGACCTTCAGGGAATCCACACTCGCCCTTGCCTAGGAAAATAAAATCAGTCAAATCAGTATCAATCAGGATATTGTCAAGTTAATTATATCTATATAGCCCAATATCACAAATAAATAGATATTTAGCATGCTACATATCTGGAATTCATCTGTCGAGGAACATGGAAAAAACGGAAATAAGCTAAACACTACACTGACTGACACCGAGATGTTGTTTGTCGGGTTGTATGTGATGTTGTTGTACTTTCAGGTGTATTAGTGGTAGCTGACAGAGTGATTAGCGTACATACAGAAGGATCTAAATCAGCCCTTGTACAGAGTGGAGGTGCCGTTGTGTAGACGTGACGTAAGCAGCTCTTACTCTTTCCAACTGGTTGGCTGCATCAACGTACTTCTTGTCCAGCAAAGCTTTGTTGAACTCCTCCATTGCACTGTGAAACTGAATCACACAGAAGAGATGTTACAGCCACAGAAACATTCAAACAGGTCAATTATAAATGCTCAAAGCGACAACTATTTCTCTGCTAATGCCATTCTGAGAGCTAGACTTGTAATGAATATATGGCGAGCACAAAGCCCTACCGGGACAATGCCTTTAATAATCGTTATTATGAACTCATCAGAGAAAGAAATAGAAAAATAATAGCCACAGTCTGGCTATTAGAGCCGTATGGTCCCGTCATGTCAAATTCCTTGTATGTTCAACATACCATGGCAATAAACGATTCTTATTCTAATGGTATGGAACTGACACTATGACACTATTAATTTGATTTAAATTATATTTTACTTAACAAATTGTCATGCATGTTGTACCTCTTTTAGATGTCCAAGCATTGTTATGACGATAGTGTTTTTCTCCAGCTGCTGCTTCAGCTTTGCATACTCGGCCACAGCGACGTGGATGTTCTGCTGCACCTGTGTCCACAAACACAAACTCTGGTTAAAAGCTCTTCAGGCAATCTGACTACAATCTAAAGACAGCTTCAGACATACCTCAGTCTCAATGCAGTTTTTAAGGACATCCATTTCTTTGGAGACCTCATCAACCTGGACCATCAGCTCCTCAGATTGTTGAAGACTAGGGAGGAAGTCACTGTACCGCTTGTTCATCATGTCACATACATCTTCCTGTTAAAAGAAAAACATGAAGCAAACAAGAGTTAAAAGATAAATTGTAGCGAGATCGACCTTCTGCTTCAAGCCGAGAGCATTTGTTTGCAGTTTGTTTACAACCGTTAGTGAATGGCTGTAAGTCTATAAGGACATTCATCCACTGATGAAACAGTATTTGATGTAAATATAATTTGGCTTCAACATGTAGCTAACATGTAACTAACCTCAAATGTGTAACTTCTGTACAGTAACGTTACATGAGTAAATGTTATTTTATTAAGGATTCAAATAACGGTGCAGTTTAATTGACTATAACAGAGCCACGTAGTCTTCTCCACCACACATGCTAACAGACTTGCTAATAATAATGCACTAAACTATTTGGATAGTAGTAGCTAATTGAATGGCTAGTGTTAATGTTTATATGCAGCTGCGTGTTATTTCACGGATAAACGTGAAACAGTAGCAAGCGTTGGTCAAAAGGTCAGAGAGGTTTCATGCCTTTCATGTGTTAGCGCTAACTGCTAGCGTTGGTTCAAACTTTACTTAGCTTGACGTAGCTAATGCTATGCTAGCTAGTCGATTACCTTCGTATCTTCCACTTTACGCGACATTTTGCTAATTTTACTGGACAGGTCCTCTTTCTCCAGTTTGCCAGAGCTGGCAAGCACTTCGGTCACAAACGACGCCATGCTGTATCCACACAGTTACGTTATTAATGTTGCACAAAAGTAGTGACAGACCAGCACAACAACAACTCAGAACCCGCCAGGTGGCCTGATTGGTCCCGACATGACGGAGACTGGATCCTCCGCCCAGAGGCGCGTCAGCGGAAGTGCAAAAGTGCTTGGTCGTCACGTGATTCACGTAGGCCCAACCCCCTGAACCCTCGGGGATTTTGACATAACCTGGTAAATACGTTATTATGTTACATGACCAGTAGGTGGCAGCATGCACCTTCAACGTTGGTTTCTAGTCCGCCATTAAATTGAAGAAGAAGAAGAAGAAGAAGAAGAAAAAAATAAGACGAAGAAGAAGTTTTTTTCACTGTTGTTCTTGTCGTTTACATTTGCAAACTCTGCAAACAGTTAGCTAACACATTGTATGTGGTTGTGCATACGAAAAATACAAAAACAAAACAAAAAGAAAAGTAGATTTGTGCTCAAACAAACATGCTAGCTTAACTACCCGCTTAGCTAAAATCAAACCAATAGCGTTTTTTCGAATGCTTTACGTTACTTGCTAAATATTAGCTTAATGGCAGACAGTTGGAACACGGATACCGGTGAAGCTGTGTATCGGTCCCGGGATGCTGTCAAGAACTTGAGAATACGGTAAGTAAACTGTAACATTAGTTTATCTGCAAAAAACTCTGTGTTAAATTAATCTTCATATTTGATGATCGCTGCTCTCAAGTGGAAACCGGTGTTTCGGTTTATCAAGCGACCGTATTAACTGGACACTTTCAGTCAAACGCGTCTGTGGTTGTCATAGTTACGACAGCTGTTGACATACACGTTCGGCTGAGAGACACCAGTTAACGCGGTCGCTTGATAAACCGAAACACCTGTAACACTGTGCATGATTGGTAACCTTAATACTCTGTTCTTGTGATCTTGATCCTTTGGTCCTTAATCCGTGTAGCGCAACTTCTTACTATATGTTCTGCGGTGGTGGAATTTACTTAAGTACTTAAGTACACATTCGATGTACTTGTACTTTACTTGAGTATTGCCATTTTATGCAACTTTAAACATTTACGTTAGTGTTAACGTGACTCCACTACATCTCAGAGGTATAGCTATATAGTTCTACAGCAGTAAAATGCAACATATACATTAATGCAATCCAGAAACATCACGTATAATGGTGGTGAGTTTTCCCAGCCTCAGGACGCGTTATCTCATCACCTATCTATTTGTTCCCCCCCCGCCCTGCTTTAGTGTTTGTCTAGAGAGGGTGACCTCCACAGCAGCCCTCTCTAAGCACCTGCAGCAGCAAGTTCTGTCCCAGCAAGACAGAGGTGCCATTGAACTGGAAACCCTCACCTCACAAGGCCACACAGGTACAAACATTTGTATTCTAGGAGAAGGACTGATGGTGAAATTGATGGTCGGTCTGGACAGTTAGAGTTTTCACTTGTCCACATCAAACTCCTTCGAACTTGTTGGTTTAATACTCATCTGAACTATTGATGGCAGCTGACTTTTCGTTTTGTGTGTGCCTCTAACTCAAAACACAGTATGTCTTGACTGTATGATTTGAATGTAACAGATATTGTGTAGAACTTGTATTAAACCATGCATACATGTTTTAGGGTAGATGTTTCCTCCACAGCATATTTTAATAACCTGACATTTCTGTTACTCTGTCACCAGCTGACAATGAGGAGGAGTTGGAGGTGGGCTGGCAGGAGAAACTCTTCAGTCAGGTAGCACTTTTGATTTGTTACATATCCTCAACATATTATAATGATTTAAAACAAGTTAAAGGTCAAGAGTAAATGCTCATTTTGCTATTATTGCTTTAAACCCCACCTCCTCACCTCCATGCCTCTCTGTCTGTGGTCCCAGTATGAGATGGAGCTGTTCCAGAACGAGGCAACATGTCAGACCCCTCTGGACCGTCAGTACCACGCAGAAGTCAAGGCCCTGAACAAGGCCAAGGGCCAACGTAATCACAGGATTTTCACATACACTGATCATGACCGCTACACCAGCTGTCTTCCATTGCACCAAGTGGTAGGTTAAACTGTATCCTATGTCAACACAATCATCCAATATTTCACGTTACAGCGTTTGATTTTCAGACATTTTTTACATATTTCTTGGATATTTTCCACAATTATTTTCACATATTACGAATATTTTTGGGATATTTTTCATAAGCCCATTGGTTCCTCTGATCACTTTGAAAAGACAATGGCTCTGACAAACAGAGGGATTTTATTTTATTCTGATTTTCATTTTAGTGAGGATCTTTATAGTTGTGATAACTATGACATTTTTTACAGTAAGATTAACTTGTTTGACAGCTTGGAGTTACACACAAACAAGTTAGTAAGTGCTGTCAGTCCAACACGATTCTACAATTATTGTCTGTAAATGTGTTTGTAAGCAGCTTGTTGTTTTTTCTGATCCTGAAATCAGACTTCCACTGACTTATTGACCACAACCAAATCCAGCCCCACATTCCTGGCTGAAAGGATGGCCAGCGTGCGACACAGACGGCAGGACAGACGCACCATGTAAGTGAAGCACCAGCTTACTTATTTAAACAGATTTATAACCAGATTGTCTTTCGTGGGGAAATTCACTTTGCCTATTCTCAAAATGCATGTAATTAGATTCTCCCCTTATAAATAAGTTTCTGTCTGTGCAATGTACACTATGTGCATTACATTGTGTAAATACAATGCAATCAATCAAAAATATTTCATTCAAATTATGCTTATTAATCCTCAAAGACAGTACTTGTACTGTTTAATGTTTGTTACAGTCATGTGATAGGATGGTCTGGCATGTTTTGCAGGGATTGTAGTGTCCCCAAGTCAAAGATCGTCAACTGGGAGCCCACAGCGGAGTTTGTGAAGAGCAGTCATGTGGTGAATAATGCCATGCAGACCATGCATATCATGGGAGACATGGGCCCCCCTGGAAGGTAAGACCTCCTTTCCATTCAGTTCACTCTTGAGGGATTTGACTTGCAGCACGGAGAAAACAGACCCATCCATTAGTGTCATTATTGTCACCTGCTAGCTTTATTGTTCTGGATAAACAAAGTCTTGCAGCTCAGAAATTGAGTAAGAAGACAAGGAACCATTTGCAGGTTTCATCGACAGCATAAAATAAAGTCATCTGTGAATGTTGTGTGGTTCAGTTGTGATTCTTCTCTCTGTGTATTTGCTTTCTCAGGCTGGGCCAGAAAGAGAATGAGTATTTGCTGGTAACCATAAAAACAGACGGCAGTGGAACAGTCATCGTAAAGCCTGACTTCAACAAAGACAAAGAGCCTTACAGGCAAGTTCACAATATGACAGGAGACTGTTTGTGCCTCCAGTAGTGATGGATATCACATCAACGTGTTTTAAAATAACGTTGTGACCCGGCAAGGAAGTTAAAGTTGCACTGTGAGTTTTTAGCCACACTCGTGACTCAAACAATAAAGGGATGCATGTTTTTGGACAAAAATAAACGAATACCTGTTCGGTGTGTGTGTGTGTGTGTGTGTGTGTGTGTGAGTTGTTGTGCAGGATTGTAACAGCGGGGGAGAAGAGAGAAGTTTGGCGCCTCACTCTTGAGAATGTGTGCACCACCATGCAACCAGAGGAAAAGGAGAGGGAGCAGAACATGTACAAAGACGTGAGCTCATCTCCATCATGTTTCCTTTAGGACAAGAGCAGCATTGAAGAGTTAAGCTTTTAATGTTCGTGTTCATATTACTGATTATGGAGTCAAACAACACGTCTTTTCTCTGACTCTAGCTGTACGTACGGCACAAGGAGTACCTCAATAGCCTTGTCGGACAAGACTTTGAAATGGTAAGTATACTACTGGACCCCTCAGCCTAATATTATTGTTCTCATTATGCTCAAGAACTTCTTGTGGTTACTGTGATTCACATTTTTTGACTGTTTTATACCGTCATTACCTGCTGACTCCTCACTCCTTTAGCATGGGCAGCGAGTGAACAACAACAGCTTCAGCAGCAAAAGGCTAAAAACAAGCCTTACAGGCCAATTTTGGGCTTTTATCGTGGCTCAAGAACTGACATCCATAAAAAGGTTTAATTCCATTTTGAACTAGGGCACCTGCAGATTAGTTCCATATCCGATATGTTATGATCCCCTAAAGTAAGACATGATACGAGATGAATAAATCACCTCTTTTGTTATCTTCGCTGCCGTCTTGTCTGTACACTCTCAGCTCTCTAGTCTACAGAATGCACTTTTTCTAGTTGGAGCTGAATCTGATCTGAAAATACGGATCCGTGCCTTTCATAGCCTCCCAGAGGTTCACGGTTACATATTCAAATAGCTTGTTTTGTGCGATCAACAGTCCAAAACACAAAAGATGTTCAATTTACCTTCATGTATGAGAGCAAACAGCAGCAAATCCTCGCATTTGAGAAGCTTGAACCAACACGTTTGACACCTTTGCTCAAAAATGATCTTAAAAATTAACATTAGACATAAAACAAAATATTAAACAACCTAATTAACACTTTTTATGGTGGTCCGTTTAGGCATTTCACTTCCTGTATGTCTCTCCCTTAGCCTCCGATAGGTATTCTGCGTTACCTGATGAACGGAGAGATAGGTGAGAAGAAACGCTGCCATCACTACTGTATATATTTAAAAAATGCCTATCTTTGGCATTTAAATATCCTTCTTCTCTTTCACCCAGTCTCAGCCAAAGGCTTTGAATATGATAACTTATACATCCACTTCTTCATGGAACTGCCTAACAGTAAGTCACACATCGTATATGATACTATTTACGTCGCGACACTTGGGTATGTTGAAACCTTTTTACATCAGTTAAACTAAATCCTGCTTGTATATCTTGTTTGTTTAAGACTGGTCCAGCTTGCCACTTCAGTCTCTCTCAGGGGTAACGCAGACGTGCCGGGCCAAAACATTAGGGAAGGTGTGTATACTCCACAAGGGACTGGAGAACAGGTTCAGGGCCTGGCAGCTGACATTTGTTAAACTCCCTAATATTCTTTCTGCCAACAGGAAAACGTAGCGTTCTTCAGTTACCCCTTGAGCTTTGAGGCTTTCTACATGTGTGAAAAGGAGAGCGAGGGTCAGTGTCAGCCATGGATTATTGCGTTTGAAGAATTTGGCTCATGCATTAGTTCGATTTAAGAGATGAGACTGATACATGACTTTTCTCCTTCTTTCAGAGTCAATTCCCCAGTGGCCAGTGATCTACTTCAAGGTTCTTTCTCTGGACTCCTGGCAGCGCTTTCGAACTGAAGGCTACGGCTATCTGCTTTTTCCTGCCATGCCGGGTATGCTGTGTACACTGTCAAAGTTGTTGGGTTAAAAATTGGGGCGGCATTGTCTTTGGTCTTATTTTTTCCTGCGTTTCACGTTTTGTGTGTGCCAGGAAAACATACAGTAACATGCCACACGTGGAGACCCCTCCAGACGGGGACCGTCTCTGCACTGAGGCGCTTCTTCATCGGAGGGTCTCCGGAGCTTGAAGACCACAGCTATGTCAGAATACCAGGGACCTTCAAGGTAGGCTCAAACCTCTGTGGAAGAGTAAATATCATAGTATCTCTTTAAATCACATTTAAAGTTATCTCGTGGAGTTTTCTTGTAAATAAACACAGCTCTGGTTACATTTACTTTTTGTGATACAACCTGTTGATGTGTAAGTATACACTTTATTATACTGAAGAATGTTTTTTGTTTTTCATACTTCCATATATCATTGTAGGGAGAGAGGCTGAGTCGCTTTGGCTTTTGTACTGAAACCACAGGAAGTGTCACCTTTAATCTGCACTGCATCCAGCAAGCCAGGTAAGAACACCTTGAATATGTCAGTATGTGTACAGACTGTCTTTGAAATATTTCATTCATCATCATCACTTATACTATTACATGTTTTAATTCCCCGTACAGTTGCTGTATAGTGTGGTTCAGTGTGTGTTGTTTGTGTTTCAGGGCATTTGTTGACGCCACCATGTTGAAGAAGAGGAGGCAGAAAGTTTTTGACCAGCTGGGAGGATTTAGTCAGCAAGGAGCTGTTTGCACCATCCTTGGTAAAGACATTCACTCATAATTACTTATTTAGGTTCTGGAGGATTAGTTTGAAGGCTAAGTTGTGTGAGAAATCAGCTCTTCAGGACCAGTGGAGCCAAAATATTCAACAAACAGCATGATGAACAGAAGCACTTGTGTTTTAGACCTACTTTGTGTGAAATGAAAGGACGGGCATTAACAAGCAAATATTGTTTGTCTTCATCTATTAACAATTTGTTTTTAAGTTTTTTTTTTTTTTTTTTGTTTGTTTTTACTGTGTAGATTTACTATTTTCAATACATCTTTTTTTTCTCTGCCAGAGGCCTTCCAGAGGGCCAGGAAAAAGATGCAAGAGGCCCGAGAAAGTCTTCCCAGAGACCTCGTACACACCACCTCCCAACTTCAGGTCGAATCCTCTGCATAGGTGTTCTAATGGTGGAGGACTGTCATTCTATCAAATACATTAAAACATCCAAATGGCTGACATCTACTGTGTAGAATTGTAGCCACATTACCAGCAATTAAGAGTTGCCGTTTAAAATATTGCACATTTACTGATGGGACCATGATGTACTGTAATGAACGGTTTCTTATTGCTATTTATTCTTTGTAAAGAAACGTGTGTTTGGGTAATAACTTTGGTAAATATGGAATATATTTGGTAATGAATAAGGAGCAAAGCCAATATGCCTACTCAGTCTGGTATCACCATACATTGTATTGTTTGTACTGTCACTGTTTGGCTAAGATTTGAGTAAATAGTCTCTTTTTCAGAGTTATAGACGCAGTGATGCTTGTGAAAACTAATGTACAGAAAATATAATACTTTGGATTTAATATTTTCCATTGTTTATTTCAAACAGAATCATATTTGTGGCGATACAAATGTTTTTTCATGTGAACTATAACCACCATGTATTTTTCTCTCATTATTATTATTATTATACATTCAAATTTCATATTCTTTGTATATGCTAAGTACTTAATATACAAACAGTCACAATAGCGCTGCACTTAAGTTACTTTATACTTCTACTACACTACATCTTGATTGTGCTTTTTACTTTACTACTTTTTTTGATAACTTTAGTTACTTTGCAGATTCTGAATATTAATACAAATATAATCGACTGATACATATAATGTATTATTGATAAAGTTACCCAGCAGTATATAAAGTAGTTGTAATTAGCCCCACCTTTACCAGCTGTAACATTAGTGATGCTTTCACATCACACATTGACTTTTGTTAAAAAATCATGGTGTGATTTTTGACAGTTCCTTCAAATTTAATAAACAAATTAGTTCAGCCTTTTCAAGTTCAGACTTTACTTTGGCTAAAAGTCTTATCTCTTGCTCAGAGAGAGATAGTCATTAATGGTTTTATTACCTCTTGGTCAGATATCTGTAATTCCTTGTATGTGGGCGTGGAACAGTCATCTCTGCAGTTTGTACAAAGTGCAGCTCCTCGTCATCTCACTGGGAAAAGGAAACAGGATCACATATCACCCGTACTGGCCTCCCTCCACTGGCTTCCTGTTCGTTTCAGGTTGATTTTAAGATTTTAAATGGGCTTGCACCACCTTATATGGCAGCACTCTTACATCTTCATACTGCAGTTAGAGCACTGGGGTCATTTAATCAAATGCTCCTGGATGTCCCCCAGAAATAGACACAAAAACAGAGGCGATCGAGCCTTTGCGGTGGAATATCTTCAGCCCCTGCAGAACTTAGTTAAATGAAATGGCCTTCGTCTGTTTGAGAAAACAAAGGGTTTAACAGACAGTTCACTGTTGCCATAAACATTATTCTAGTTCCCACTCTGTCAGCCAGGACAGCATTCTGATCCCAACCAAGACTCTCCTCTCGTGCTGTGTTCACCGCTGTAGGCATTTTTGCCGTGCAGTAACCAGTAACGCCTAAAATACGTTGTATTTAAGTGTAAAACCCAAATCTCAATTTACATATAGGTCTTGCAGAGATTCATTACCCTTGTAAACATAAACGACAATGGTACTGATCGATCTGTCCACATCATCCACCTGCAGTCCATTATTGGTGCAAGGCATTGGATCGGTCGAATTAGAGGCCCGATTTAAGAGGGAAGTTTTCCAGTTTCCGATGACGGTGAACGCACCATCCCAGTCCCGATTCTCCATCTTCCTCAACCTGGCAAAGGAAGGGACCAAACCTGCGTCTTGCACTCCACATTTCACCGCGGACGTAAACTTGAATCAGGTATATCATAGTTCAACATTTATCTATAACGGTTGTCCTATCTTTGTGTGTGGTTTCGGGGCGATCAGTCAGCTGGGCATTGCATCACACACGTTAACAACGTAGCTCCCTGTCAGCAATGGAAGCTGGGCCCGCTGATCACTTTTCCTGTTTCGATGTCAGATTTAATAACATTACAAGTCACATCAGAGTGGGAGAAAGTTCGCCCAAATGATGCTGATTACATCACAGTTGTAAAGTTTTGCTAAACTAGCATCGCTCGTCCAGAGGTAGCGTTAGCGCCGATCGTGTAACGCTACCTGGAAACGTTACACTTCACGTTAGCATGCAGCAAGCTAACGTTAGCAATTAATAGTAACGTTGTAACGTTCGCTATCTTTGACGTTGAAGAGAGGTCAAACCATAAGTCAGTCGTTTGTCACGCCCGGTGCTCTATCGGAAATGTCACGACTGATTTAGGTTTAGCGTGAATTTCACAAGGGAATGGATGACATTGACGTTAATGTTATAGTTAATGCTAAAGCTATGGGATTTATATTATAGATGTAGCGTTAGCTAAATTACGTTTACAAGCTAGCGATAGCTAGGATCTGTGATAGAAATGACACATAAACCCAAATTGTCATGCATTGACATCAAAACAGTACCAAAGCACCACCGTATACTTCAATTTTCTGTGGTGCACGCTATTTCTTGTCCATTTACCAGAACGAATGTGCAAATATAGACAACCTGATGTTGACATAACGCTAAACTACATAGCCAGAAGTATGTGGACACCAGTGGTGGAAAAAGTACATTTTACTTGAGTAACAGTAACAATACCACTCTGTGGAAATACTCTATTATAAGTGAACGTAATATTCAGTAAAGTACAAGTACCTCAAACTTAAAGTAAGCTTGAATAAATGTACTTGTTACATTCCACCACCGGTGGACACCTGCACACTTTACCCATACGTGATTGTTGATTATCTCATTCCAAAACCATGGTCATGTAGATGCTGCTATAATAACAGCTTCCACTCTTCTGGAAAGGATTTTCACAATACTGTGGAACCTGCCAGGGATCACTTGCTCCCACTTCGCTCTAACAGCGTTAGTGAGCTTGGGAACTGATATTGGTTGATAAGGCCTTCGATGGGTCAATGCAGGCCAGTCAGATTCGTCCATAAAAAAACATTTCTTTATGGATCTTGGTTTGTGAACAGGGCATTGTCATGTAGAAACAGGAAATGGCCCTCACCAAACGTTGCCACAAAGTTGGAAGCACACTCATTGTGTGCTGCTATAGCGTTAAGGTTTCCCTTCTTTGGAAATTAGCCCACATTATAAAAAAAAACAGCCCCACATCATTATTCCCTGTCCACTAAACTAAATAGTTGGCCCTGTGCATCCAAGCAGGAAGGGAACTCCTGGCATCTGCCAAATACAAATTGGTTGTCAGACCGCCACATAGTGAAGCCTGGTTGATCTCTGCAGATATGTTGTTTCTACAGCTCCACTGTCACGTGGTGCTGTGCTTTACACCGACCCAATGAACACTTTGCACTGTGCATTGGGATTTCAGGCTTGTGTGCCTCCGCTCCCCCGTGGAGATCCATGTCATGAAGCTGCCAATAAACAGTGCTGACGTTGCTTCCTGAGGCAGTTTGAAACTCGTGAGTTGACTGTTGCAACCCCGAAATTTTAAGTGATTCACAATCAGCTTGGCGGCCGTGTTCTGCAGCCTTGTGTGACTTGATCTACCACCTCATGGGAGGAACTGTTGTTGCTCCCAGACATTTCCACTTCACACTAACGGCACTTACAGCTGACTGGGGGCAAACCTAGCAGGGCAGAAGTCTGACTTGTGGGAAAGGTGGTATCCTGTGACAGTGCCACGAGGAAATTCACTGAGCTCTGCAGTAAAACCCATTCTATGTTTGTCACTGGAGATTACATGGCTCTGTGTTTCATGTTATGCACCTGGTTGAGGCATCAGAACCCACTAATTGTGTCCAAATTATTTGAATGCAACCAAAGAGAGATGCCAGTAAATATCCAGGGAGAAATCCTATGCAAATGGTGGAAGGGAATCACTGATGCAGATTTTGCTGATGGCGTAATGCAGTGTATTTCTTCTGTACAGACTTAAAGGACCACAATCATGACGGACTCCAAATATTTCACAACAAACAAAAAAGGTGAGTTGAGGGAGGAAGTGGTGCTGAACTGGTTATCAGTCAGACATCATCTTATTTCTCAGCGGCTGACATTACATTCAAACTGTGCTGCTGCCAACGCATGTTGTGATTGATCTCACAGGGGAGATTTTTGAGCTGAAGGCAGAGCTGAACAATGAGAAGAAGGAGAAGAGAAAAGAGGCGGTGAAGAAGGTCATCGCTGCCATGACTGTTGGCAAGGATGTCAGGTATTTATTGATATTTAAACTGTCTGGTTTAGGTCAGTTATCAACCCACTGTTGTATACCAAGCAAGTCAAAACACAGCCAGACTACAATCGCTCAAGTGTGTTTGTCACATACTTCCAGCATGAGTTTATCTTGAAGACGAGGAGAACCAGCCCAACAAACATCTCAATGGAGTATTCTTAACTTTTACACAGTTTCAAATACACAATACACTTTAAATAGGTCACATTAACGTTATTAAAAACACTTCTGTGAGAGTATACATTGGCCTTTAGGGGGACTTCTTTATCACAATGCTCACGGTGTCAACATATGATGACAGAAAAACAGCCCTGAAAGCCTCATACTGTAATGTCTGACTGAGGCCTCTCGCTTTGCTGTCAGTTCTTTGTTTCCAGATGTGGTGAACTGCATGCAGACCGACAACCTGGAACTGAAGAAGTTGGTCTACCTCTACTTAATGAACTACGCCAAGACCCAGCCTGACATGGCCATCATGGCCGTCAACAGCTTCGTCAAGGCAAGTCCCTAAATTCACTTGTTTCTGCAGCTGCATATAATACTGCCAGGGTATCCGAAGCTGTGACTTCATCCACACAAAGGCAGATCAATCCCTGTTCACTCTCAGATGAGAGAGCGCAGCCTTTTCAGATTCATCCATTCTAGACGGCGCTTTTGAAAAGCTCAGTTTTTGGGTCATAAAAGGTTGCTTTGTTTGTCTCATATCATAATTATGTTTTATGTTATGTCGACCGTTGGTCGGACATGATACGATTTTGCACCTGACTCTTGAAAAAAACACAGCACCTCCTTACAGTCAACGTACTTTAACTTTTGGGAAATTTTAGAAATTTCATCTAAAATCTTCCAACTTCAACTTGTAATTGTTTTACATAACTGTATTTTATTTTACATCTAAATAATCTGAATTCATCTATTGAATTATTTTCTATAAATGGAAAATTTGAATGGCTTTTATTATTTTATATCTCTCTTTTGTTTTGTTTTTTCCTTTTCGAGAGTATCGTCTTGGGCTGTGGGAAATTATAACAAATATTTGAACAATTTGATGACGTCTAACAAAGAAAACAATTAACAAGAAGATAAATCAATAATGAAAATAATGTTTTTTTTTGCCCTATTGGTTATGCTGTTTGGAGAAGTGTTTTCAAGACTAGACAAGTCACAAACTTCACATTCTCTGGTGTAATTGTGTATAAATGTATATAAATATTATTGACACTTTTACAGGATTATGGTAGAATGTACACTTGTGTTTCTATCGTTACTACATTAGAAAATTCTTTAAAGTTGTTGTCAAAACTGCATTGTTTACTCCGACTATCAATCATTAATTATTCGATAATAATAAAGTTTCTGTTGAATACACAAAGGATATATTTATGGTCATAGAAAGTTATGGAATTTCACTTTTGGGTCAGAGGGGGAATGTGCCTCAGTGAAACCTAATCTCCTTAAAACCACAACTGCCTTTCTTGTCTCGACCTCCAGGACTGTGAGGATCCCAACCCTCTGATCCGGGCCCTGGCCGTTCGCACCATGGGCTGCATCCGGGTGGACAAGATCACGGAGTACCTGTGTGAGCCGCTGAGGAAATGCCTGAAGGATGAGGACCCATACGTGAGGAAGACGGCGGCTGTTTGTGTGGCGAAACTCCATGACATCAATGCCCAGATGGTGGAGGACCAGGGCTTCCTGGACTCCCTGAGAGATCTCATTGCTGACTCAAATCCCATGGTAGGTGTCGGTTCTTTCCCACCTGAGCTTTATTTCCTTAGTTTGTGTTGTCCGCTAGTAGTTAACAGAGTTATCGTCACACAACACCTCCGTCCTGTAGGTTGTGGCCAACGCGGTTGCTGCGCTGTCTGAGATCAGCGAGTCTCACCCCAACAGCAACCTGCTGGACCTCAATCCCCAGAACATCAACAAGCTGCTGACGGCCCTCAACGAGTGCACTGAGTGGGGACAGATCTTCATCCTGGACTGCTTGTCCAACTACAACCCCAAGGATGAGCGTGAAGCCCAAAGGTAGCAATCACTCAGGCTGAAGTATGGGATGTAGGCTCCTGCTGACTGGCCATCGTAGAGCGACTATTGATGATTTCAGAGACAAACCTGTCTAACATCAAACATAAGATCAGCACAATCACTACGCCACTCTCTTTTTTTAAAATAATGACATCCATACTTGATTCAAATCAGTGTTACCCTCCATTAACCTTACTGACCCTCACCCTTCCTTCCCTCCCTCCTTCACTTTCAAAGCATCTGTGAGCGCGTCACTCCCCGACTGTCTCACGCCAACTCAGCAGTGGTGCTGTCCGCTGTCAAGGTGCTGATGAAGTTCCTGGAGCTGCTGGCCAAGGACTCCGATTACTACAACACCTTGCTGAAGAAGTTGTCCCCACCGCTGGTCACCTTGCTCTCTGGAGAGCCCGAGGTCCAGTACGTGGCTCTGAGGAACATCAACCTCATTGTTCAGAAAAGGTGCGTCATCACAAACAGCAGACACAGCTTTGGGAGCTTTCCTCAAATAGAAATTATTGTTTCTTTTGGATCGGGGTTTCCTGCAGTCTAATATGTTGCTTTGTGCGCAGGCCTGAGATCCTGAAGCAGGAGATCAAGGTATTCTTTGTCAAGTACAACGACCCCATCTATGTGAAACTGGAGAAACTGGACATCATGATCCGCTTGGCCTCTCAGGCCAACATTGCTCAGGTACCTTTTATGGAACTATACAGAAGCTTTGTGAGAGGTATAATCTTCCTACAAAGGGTTTTGCTTTTTGCTAAATACATCAAATTGGAACAAAACCAATAAAAGTTAATCACAACTAAAAATAAAAGTGTGGTGAACACAAACGGTGTATTACTTTTGTTCTCTGACACTTTCAGGTACTGGCTGAACTGAAGGAATACGCCACAGAGGTGGACGTTGACTTTGTGCGCAAGGCTGTACGAGCCATCGGACGCTGTGCCATCAAAGTGGAGGTAAGAACAGCTGTCATTGACACCGAAGTCTTCTCATGTGCATCGCAGCACGATAATCTTAATTCACTTCAGAATTGTCACCAGGGCGTTGTGACGGTAGTAATATCATAATACAGGTGACAATAACTCGCTCACCAATCAGAGACTAAAATTATATTATATTCATAATTCATTAAATAATGTATGTGTCTCCTTAATGGGGATACTTTTGCCTGTCTCATCCTTGTGTGTTTATCGAACAATTGATGTGTTATAATAAAAAAATATATATATATCAATCATTTATGCTGCTCAGTTTATGCTTGTGTGAACTGCACCTTCTCGCGACAAGGCAAGAGGAATTTTAAGACGTTGATCAGAAGGAGAGACGAACACCACAAACCCTTTTTCCCAGCAGACATTTTTACTTTGTCATAGTGGAAAAAATCACAGGTGATATTAATAACAGTAACGATGTCTCAAATGTCCCAGTTAGCTGTTCCAGTGAGCCAGCATGCACAATACCATCTCTACGTGGACTGCAGCTATTGTTAATGTTGTTGAATACACCTGTGCTTTTTCCTCCGACTGTGAGATGTCAAAATGTCTGCCGAGATGTAAAGCAGACCAGCAACAATTAAAGCATCTAGTCCGGTCTTAATCATTTTGGCTGTAGTTTGTTATTACAAAAATGAAGAGTTAACCTTTTCCCCCTAAGTAATGGTGACATGGTGCCTCTGTCCCGTTCCTCTGCAGCAATCAGCTGAGCGCTGTGTCAGCACCCTGCTGGACCTGATCCAGACCAAGGTCAACTACGTGGTTCAGGAGGCTATTGTGGTCATCAGGGATATCTTCCGCAAGTACCCAAACAAGTATGTTTCCCAATGAAGCCCTGAGAACTACTCCACAAATACCAATGAGCACTTAACATGGGCAGATGACATCTATATCCCTCCAGTAAAGTTTTATTCTGACCAATGAGATGCTGGTGTTCTCCAGGTATGAAAGCATCATTGCTACGCTGTGTGAGAATCTGGACTCTCTGGATGAGCCGGATGCTCGTGCTGCCATGATCTGGATCGTTGGCGAGTATGCCGAGAGGATCGATAACGCTGATGAATTGCTGGAGAGCTTCCTCGAGGGCTTCCACGATGAGAGCACCCAGGTGGGTCCATTCGTTTCACGAGCAATTAACTGAAACGCACTTGAATCATTTACCAACTGAATCTTGAACAGTTACTGACATCGAGTTCAGCACATTACAATGTAGTAGAGGTGTATGGTCAAGGGTGAACAAGGGAGTTGAGGACTTTGGGAGGCATTGTACCCTGAAGCTAATCGTAATATAACGGTGTGTGCTTTGATTTACAGGTCCAGCTAACTCTGCTGACTGCCATTGTTAAGCTGTTCCTTAAGAAGCCATCGGAGACTCAGGAGTTGGTGCAGCAGGTCCTCAGCCTGGCCACTCAGGTGAGCAGGTGTTTTTTTGCACAGCTCATCGTCTGTAGTCGTTAAGATGTAATTCCTACACTAAATAAATGGGAAACAAAATAATATATTTCACAGCGCACATGTTGAACTCTCTGCTCCTCTGCAGGACTCCGACAACCCTGACCTGCGTGACAGGGGCTACATTTATTGGCGCCTGTTGTCCACCGACCCCGTGACTGCCAAGGAGGTGGTGTTGTCAGAAAAGCCCCTGATCTCAGAGGAGACGGACCTGATTGAGCCCACCCTGCTGGATGAGCTCATCTGCCACATTGGCTCCCTGGCCTCCGTCTATCACAAACCGCCCAGCGCCTTCGTGGAGGGCAGCCACGGAGTCCACCGCAAACATCTTCCTGTGCAGCACAGCAGGTCAATTGAAAAGACGTCATGCAGATAATATTACAAAAGTAGTAAATGTCGTGCACGTGACACACAAGAGGGCAACATGTAAGGCAAAAGTGCTGTGTCGCTGAATCAAGGACCTGTCAAAGCTTTGACCTCCTGTCTCTTACCAGTACTCCTGTTTTCTCCTGTGACAGCATTGATACTGGCGAGAGCCCAGTGAGCAGTGGGCCACCGGCTGCCATGGAGCAGCAACATGTGATCCCCAGCCAGGGGGACTTGCTGGGTGACCTGCTGAACCTGGACCTGGGCCCTCCAGTCAATGTGCCCCAGGTCTCCTCCATGCAGATGGGGGCCGTGGACCTTCTGGGAGGAGGCCTGGACAGTTTGGTGAGCTTGAACACACACACACACACACACATTAATTTTATCTTAAAATTCTTAAAATACATCACTAAAAGGTTTTTGAAATGTTTTAAAATCCAGAATATATTTGTCCGAAACATGATTGTTTTTCCAACATAGAGCTACATTAAGCCTTGGTGTATTATCTTCTGTTAATGGTCACTTTTCCTCTTCTTCAAGCCACTGGACTAACTGGACTCCTTGATAATCTTCTAGCAGATTTTGAAGTCTTATTTTAATGTCTACCATGCCGAGCTGAAAGTGAGGGCTCCTCTTGATGGGTTGCGGTTGCTAAGAAAGTCTCTGTCTCTGTCTTTGTTTGTGTGTTTGGTCCGTCTGATGTTTGGATGCTGTCTTTGGGGGCCTCTCTTCTCTCCTGTAGCTGGGGGGAGACCTGGGCGGAGGTGTTGGGGGAAGTCCAGCAGTAAGTCAAGCCCTTCTGTTTGGCAGTCTGCCTGTCTGCATGCTCGCTGAATTAAACCCACTACATTCTCACACCATCTTCTTCAAATATTTACCAAGTTTTTAAACCTAGCTTCTTTGTCTCAGACTCATATATTTTCAGTTCAAACAGTAGTTCTCAACCTTTTCAAGTTAGGAATAATAATCCAGAATATTCAGGATGGTGTTTGTTTAGTTTGAACAGCTAGCACCCATGTGTTATTCATTCCATGACCCCCGAACTAACCTGAACTCTCCTGTCAGAAACTTGTCTGCAGGCACACAAACGCACTCATTAAAATCTATTCTGAGGTGAATTATATCCCTGGAAATGTAAATCTATTATCTTTAATATGTTCTTTTTTTAAATTTCCCCAGAAATGATCCTCGCTCCCTAGTTTAAAAACCACTGAGTGAGAAGACCACACAGATGTTAAGCACGTTTTCTGACCTGTACAAATCATCCCACAATTTTAATTTGTGCTCATCTTTGACCGGACCGATGTACCGAATTGTACCACTAGGCATCACGCTTGACTCAACAGCCGCTCCCAAGTGGAACATAATAAGACTGAGAGTCCATTAATGAGGGTGTATAAACAAAAATATAATATGTTAATCATGTTGTCATATTGCTAATGTAGGCCACTTTTGAATTTGCCGGCATGTGTCTTAATGACAAACGCCAGTTTGCACAAAATCAAACGGGACCAGACTGGCAAAACCAGAAATTGACCCATGTATGAACTTATTTTAAACATTAATATTTTTAAGCAGGTCATACGATAGATGATTGAGAGATCTCTTTGTAACTTAGCTGTAACTTAGCTTTGTAATTAATGAGCTCAAACACCCAAAACCACAAGTATGCTTCTTTAAATTCACACTCTCTCTGTCAAATGAGCTTAGGCTGATCGCTTGCTTTAGTTAAAATGTTGTTTTTTCATGAATATTTTCTTGAGATGGTCTTTGTGCTTTTATTTGTAGTGTTATTGCAAATTGTCAAGTTGCCAGTGATGCTTTCCAAAATGATTGTTATGTTGATTTTGTGTGGGTGCGTGTGTGTTTTTTGTGTGATTGTAGGTGGGACAGAACTTCATCCCCTCATCTGTGCCCAGTACTTTTGCTCCGTCACCTACACCAGCTCCTCAAGCTGTCAGCAGTGGCCTTAATGACTTGTTCGAGCTTTCCACAGGCATGGCCATCACCACTGGAGGCCATATAGCCGCAAAATCAGTGAGTTTACACAACTTCAGAATTAACTTGTGCTCTCAATAAAACACAAAGCCAACAAAGTAATGTGAGACCCTTCTTGGTGGGGCATTAACCACCAAAGATGGCGAATGGAACCCAAACAAATTTACTTTCCAGATCTGTTTGCTAGTAGTGAGAGGGTATAATACATCAGCAAGTGGCCCAGTATATAGTAGCCAGATCTATACATGTATTTGATGGAGAAATCTAACTTGTAACGTTACACCAGCGAAACATTTACGAGCATACAAGTCTCTAGATACTTGATAACTATGTTATCTGTGGTCATGTACAGGAGGTCTAATATCAGACATGGACCCAGAGTTTTGAGTTTATTGGGTTTGAAAATGGGCACTACAAACTTGAGCATGTTTGATCAGTCCAGTAGTCAACACGTTTAATAGCTTACAGCGATAGACATTACCGGTGTTTTGATTAAACCAATGACCGTATTAACTGGTGACTCTCGGCTGAATGCGTCTGTGGTTGCTCGTAATGATGGCAGCTGGTGAAAAACGAACAGAACATGTAGGAGTCCTCGTAAAAACTGTGAAACCACTTTAAATACATACTCATCTGTGTTACCTATGCCAACTGCTTAAGTTAATACGAGCAACCACAGACGCAGTCTCCAGTTAAACTGAAACACCTGTTGCTCTGAAGATGTTTTGATCCTGTCTGAATTCTGTAAAATTTGAGTCTACTGTTACAATATCGATTCTGACAACCAAACGGGCAACAAGCACATCTTTTTATGCTGGTAACTCAATGTTTAAAGCATGATTATTCGTATGGATCGGTGGGGCAAAACGCCACTACAGTTGGCTTAAGGAACCGGTTCCTATTAAAAATCTGCACACATTTTGATGCTGAGCTTCCAGTTTGTTTTACCAATGACTGAAGCTTTTGTTGCAGGAGATTACACACTTTTGACTTCCAGCGTGTATATATTCCATCCTGATAATTGATTACCCTGGTACCTTTTTACCAGGTGTGGCTGCCTGCAGTGAAGGCCAAGGGACTGGAGATCTCTGGCACCTTCTCTCGCCGCCAGGGCCACATGTACATGGACATGACCTTCACCAACAAGGCCCTGCAACACATGACTGACTTCGCTGTCCAGTTCAACAAGAACAGGTCGGTGAGATGATGCACAGAAAAAGTCCTGTTGAACTACGATATTACTACCATCAAATACCATCTTCCTGAAACAGTAGAGCTGGTGTATTAGACTGCTTTAACTTGATCTTGATCTTGGTGTACCACATAAATTAGCTGCTGAGTGTATATTTTGTAACTGAAAACAGGTACTGAATGATTTTTGTTAATGTCCTACATGTAGTTTTGGGATGATCCCTACCAGTCCTCTGCCTGTTCACACTCCACTGATGCCCAGCCAGACTATTGAGGTCTCTTTGCCTATCAACACCATTGGGCCTGTCATGAAGATGGACCCACTCAATAATCTCCAGGTACATAAGCTCTCACTCACCATTTGAACAGCAGTGCCACACATTGAAAAGGCACAGAAAAACAGTGTCTGCTTATACCCAAAATATCTAACGCCAAAGCTCTTTTGCTTACTTGTGCCCAGGTGGCTGTGAAGAACAACATCGACGTCTTCTACTTCAGCGTGCTCATCCCTCTCAACATATTCTTTGTTGAGGATGGGAAAATGGGTATGATTGTGAACCACAACTTAATAAAACATCATTACATCACAAACAATATCTTCCACAACCGCTGAAGCCGAGATCAAATATATATACATACATGATATGCTACATGAATGGCCATTATTTACTTCTGTATGCATCAACCATCCCAATAATATGTTGTGTTTCTATGTGTTTAAATCAACTCTCAGCATCCTTCATTACTAATTTTGATATATGTTTTTATTTTCTTCCCTTCTTCAGAGCGACAGGTGTTCCTGGCTACCTGGAAAGACATCCCTAATGAGAACGAGCTACAGTACCAGATAAAGGAGTGCCACCTCAATGCAGGTTGGCTTAGCAAAAACAAACAAGCATTTATATTTTTTCGTGAAATTCCGGCAACAAGTTTTCATCACACCCTGCCAAAACTCTCGATCCCTCAGCGGTCCCCAGGCCCAACACTGAAAACATTTGTACACTCGTCACAGGACTGATAACCTACCAGCTCTCTTTTTCCCGCCTACCACTCATTCCAAAGACCTCACCCTTCTCTCTGTGTTTTCTTTCTCCACCCACATGCCTATCTTGGGACATTTCCTCTTCCTCTGTACCTGAAGGACTCTTCCAACTCGCTCATAATTGTGCCACCATTATCTTGGCAGCAGGATGGTGACTGTTCTTAGCACGGTCAGGTTTACTGAAATCCGAAGGTTGCCACTCATAGTTCAATAAAACCATTACCGTCAATTCCCTTCTAAACCTTTTGCCAGTTTGCTGGTGTGAACATTAGTGTTAGTACCTATAGTGATTACAGTTCCAGTAGTGATTACAGCCTGGTGTGTATTTCACTTTGTTCAATAATTGAGGTGTGTTAATTACCTAAACCTTGATTCTGGTCTTGCAGACACGGTATCAGGGAAGCTGCAGAGTAATAACATCTTCACCATTGCCAAGAGGAACGTAGAAGGCCAGGACATGCTCTACCAGTCCCTCAAGTTAACCAACGGCATCTGGATCTTAGCTGAGCTCCGCATTCAGCCCGGCAACCCCAACTACACGGTAGAGTGTTATTACACTATTGGGCCTTCAGCCATGCTTCATGCTTGTTTGATGAGTATCTGTGTCCAGGTGACATCTACAAGGTTTAATGTAGAATTCCAATTCAGTTCAGTTGGTAAGAAAGGGAAAGAAATTAACAAAGAATTTCAATTTTTTTGTTGTTGTTATTTTTATTGATCACAATTGAACCTGGACAAACATTTGAGTGATTCGTGGTTGTATTTGGTGAAGTACCTGCATGTAGTAGATTATAGCGGCGTCTCTGATAGGTAATAAAATAGGTTTTATATACATATATTTAGTGTTTAATGGCTTTTTAATGTAAAGTAGATTGAGTTCACTTGTGCTATATAATGATAGTCGTTGAGGGAAAAAATCGGAACCAGAATTTATTAAACAAAGGACTGCAACAAACATTTATTTATTTCATTTTCGATTTATTTATCAAAGCTGTTTTTGATTAATGGATTGTTAGTCTATAAAATTACATCAATGAAATCACAAAGTCCACAGTGACGTCTTCCAATGTCTTGTTTTGTCCTGCCAACAATCCAAAACCCAAAGATATTAATTTAAATGTGATGTAATACAGAGATAAACAACCGGTCTTCACATCGAAGAAGGTAGAACCAGAGAATAATTTGCATTTTTCGCTTGAAAAATGACTAAAATGATTAATAGATTACCAAAATAGTTTCCGATTATTTACATAGATTATTACAAACTAATCGATTAATCGACTAATTGTTTGAAGCTTTGAATCCATGTTATGTAAAACTCTATAAACCCTCCTTCAGCTGTCTACATAATTGTTTCTGCACTATACACACAGTAGATGATCATCCAGAATCTAATTAGTTTTATTGGTTTTAGTATCTACCTAAATACGCTGCAGTTTACTCTTTTGTGTTGATCAAAAATGAGTTCTCTCATAACCTCTTAGACGATATGTTCTTGTTATTATTGGTTCAGCACGTCGGCTAGCTAATTTTTCTTAATTTCGTGTTAAAGATTTACAAATGCTCTCCTTGGAGTAGAAGGCACAGCCTGCTGCAAACTTTGAATTTGGACTTTTTCTCCCATATTTGAATGGTGGTTCAAATTGTGGGATGGCTCTAATGACCCATGGGTTCTCTTGGGAAAGGTTATGATTAAATACAGAATCAAACGTGTATAGAACCATCATTACTGTTTACCCCCTGTGCGATCCTCAAAAGTACAGTAAGCTGTTTCACGACAGATCTGAAGAGGCTCTTGAATGATCCTATTTCTGAGTAAAAGGGTTCTCCTATCGTTACTCTGTGTTCTCTCTCTGTTTCCACAGCTGTCTCTCAAGTGTCGGGCCCCAGAGGTTTCTCAGTACGTCTACATGACGTACGACTCTGTGCTGAAGCCCTGAGCTGCTTCAACACTAAGCAGCTCTGCTTCGTCCTGATGACAAACTGCAGTGTTTTATCATTTTCTGCCATTCGCAGCTAACTGCCAAAACAACGGAATCCAAACAGTAGATGATGGGAGACTAAATAGTCTGGGGTTTTCTTCTGAAGTGATCAACAAGGCAAATGTCAGTCAAAAGTACAGCGGGTGTGTATTGTACTGAAATTGAACAGGACAAACACTGTTGATGTTTCCTTTATTTTGGCAGTTGAAAGCATTATTAACTCCTCTTATTCAAGTCCCCATTTCTATTTTTACCTCCCAGAGAAAACACGTCGACCATTCCATCCTTAACTTAGTGTCTTAATGTTGTAAAGATGTGACTGATGGTTTAACTGTCATGAGTGGGGAGAAAAGAATCTCCCAAGTTTTCCATGAAGCCATTTCTTTTCTCACATTCCTTTTGGATTTGCTTTATTTTTGATATTGACTTTGCTTCAGTTGCACCTACAGACTAATACCAGTGTTGCTTTGTTCCTATTGCCATTCATGTTTGTGACGAGTAAACCTTCTTATACACAGTCTGTGGTAGAAACCCACAATGTGATTGAAGCTGCTAGCGTCGGTCCTACACCGGGTTATCCTCCTGGAGGTCATAGCTTACAATAACTTCCAGAGACATGCTTAACTAACAAACATTATACATACATCACAGTGAGCAGCATATGGACTCCCGTTTTTCCTGTCATGACTTTAAGCACACCGCACAGCTTCTTGTATTTAATGTGATTACTTACAATTTGCGCAGAGTTTAGATATATTAATTGCTTTTTCCTCCATAAGTATGAAACATTGTGCAGTAATTGAAAAACTTGACATTCCAAAATCGTTGGAAAAACGAAAATGTAGACCAGAGATGAGTAAGAAATGTAACCACCAAATCTACGTGACAAGTGATAAAACACAGAAGCAGGTCCTGTTGAGGTCTTTATTCCAAACATCTTTTCATCAGCCATCAGCACTGTTTTATTAACACTCCACCCTTTTCACCTCAGCTGCACCTAAATGTCTTCCGAAGAGTTAGATTATTTTTTATGCACATTTTTTGTTTTGTTTTAGATGTTTTAATGGTTAAATTCAAAATGCAAAAAGCTAAAGAAAATAAGAAATGTCATGTGAAGCAACGTCATTGGACCTGTTCTGACATACAGCTAATCTTTACTCAATTATAAAGTCATGTAAAGAAGCAAACTGTAGTGAGGTGTCAGCAGGCTACAGTATTTAAGTGGAGGAACACAAACTGTCAGTGGAACAGCCGGTCAAGAAGCTTCTGGCTGAAAATAACACACTGCACATTTGTTTAAAAAGACACAAACCACAGCAACTATTGATAATCTGTTAACAGGCCAGTGCCACTTTGTTTTCAGAATATTTGTTAGTTAATTTCCCATGTAAATTTTTGTTTTAGCCCCGTTTACTGCAACCACATAGTTGCACACGGCTTTATGCACCTCCATTGTCATTCCTATTTATTGTGCATCTACCTCTGTGTGTTTCCTTTTTAACTGGCTTTATTGTTGCAGTAGCTTCAATTCTGTAATGTGCTTTAAATGTTTTCACCTTTCTTTTTGATACCAGTGTCTTTGCTATCTTCATGCCATTGTTGTCAAGCCAGTCTAAACCTGGGGCAAGTCAGGCCTAACCAATCTCACAGGACCAAGCATTCACGCAAACAAAATGCCCAAGCTTATGTTTTAATTCCCTAGTGTCGATACCACCCTCTGATGTTGGCTTTGTGTGTGCTAATAGAACATAGGGTGCATATGCTCTAAGGCCAAGAGTTGCGCTAGTACAGTGTAGTCAAGTGATGGTGTAGTTTATGTAGCTAATACATTTAAATGTTTTGGTATTACCCTACAAAGGAAATAAAGCCTTGCCTCTATCTATTCAACAGAAAAGACGTTTTTGTATTGGTGACACTATTTTCCTACATGGAAATGTAGAAATCCATTTTTAAATGTGCCTGCATGAGAGTCCACTGTTGATTTTATCCTTTTTCATTTCGGCTATGGCTTTGCTCCATTTAAAATCTAATCTCCCAACTTCATGTCTGTTGTTTTAAGCAGCATCATCTCTAGCACTCCCACACATTGAAGTATATATCCAAATCATTTGCCAGCAACACAATGTATGGCGAGAGCTATCATAACATCCTTGCTGTAACCCTGTTGTAAATTATTTGTCATTGTCACAGTACCACATCTTATGTCATTAAACTGCCAAACACATGATGCATCACTGTGTCGACTGTGTGCGTGTGTATAAACAAAGCAGAGACGGGTCACACTACAGTGGACGATAAGAAAAGCTAGTGAAAATGCTTAATTCAACACCACTAACACACATCACCAGGAGCCTGTATTACAAAGCAAGATTAGTCGGTCAGCAAAGTAAAATCACTTCATTATTTTAGCTTAAATCAGTTTATACTGTGCTCACATGGTGCACACTGCCAAATAAATGATGCCCAATGAAATGAGCACTAGCTAACCCTGGGGGGCCAGGTAGTGTACCGGTATAAAAGTGCTGATTTGCTTTTTGGGTCTCTGGGCAAATGAAGTTGTCATTTAAAGAATGCTGTGCACATAATGGGGCCTTAGAGGTGGCCGGGTACACACACAATGCACAGGGCTCAGGCGGTCAATAGGGGGCCCCTAAAAGGTAAATCCAGCCTTGTGTGCAGTTATGAGGGACAGGAGGCAACAAGCTCAGAGCAACATCTTTATAGTGAACATATACTGTAATTATAGGTGGTAACACTTAAAGACTGGATGAATAAAGAACTGGGAAAACCTGTCTCCTGTAATTTAAGGCAAAATAACAGTGCCCTGCAGATTTACAATTTAATGAGTCAGCTTTCCATAATAAGAACGGAGGTGTTCGGTGTTTGTGGCACAAGCATTTGACAGCTCTCAATGGTTGTGCTCCAGCAACTTAATGTACAACTGAACGTGGACAAGCCTTCTTTTTGTCTGACGTCATCAAACAATGAAACCCATGGCTTTGAAAATGAGTCTCTTCACATCTTTCAGAGTTGAAACACATTAAGCACCAATTGAAAGTACAGCTACAAAGACAGAGTTGAGCCAGCAAACTAAGCATAACTGCTATTAACAACCTACTTTCCTCTGCTGGCTTTAAATGTTGGAAAATACCAATAATTTAGGAAAGATGTGGAGGCATTGTAAGGTTTGACAACAAAATAAATAGAGAAGTCCTTTTTTTACAAATTGAAAGAGACAAGATCACATTACTCATATCTTGCCTTTTTTGATTGTCAGTTTTAGGGTTGATTGATATTTATATTTTTCTGAACATCTACTGGGAATTGCTGCTCCTCTACATACTAACACACTGTTGCCTCAGAGGCAGGACTCTCTGGCTGCTCCTAAATCCTGGATCGAGACCACAGTCGACCAGGGTCTCAGCTGTCAGGGCCTCTCAGCTCTGGAGCTCCCTGCTTGAAGATCTGAGGTTTGCTGAGTATTTTTAAATCATTCCTCAAAACCTCTTAAATACACCTTTTATTTACATTAACTGCATGTTTTATTGGTTTCCTGCTCTATAGTGTCTTATGCATTTTGTTTGTTGATTTCACTCTATTTTTGAGTCGTTTTTTTGTAGTACTTTTAATTTCCTGAACTTTTTTAAATATATAATTATGTTTTAATCATGATTATTATGTAAAGCTCCTTTTTTTTTTTTCAAATATTTTTTGGGGCTTTTTTTTGCCTTTATTTGACCATACAGCTGAAACACTTTTAATCAGGCCTAAAATGTTTGATGAAAAGTAAACAACACTGTGTCATTTATCTACAAATCCTGATTCACTTCTAATAAATGTTTTCATGATCATTGCTGTCAATATTATTTATTCGTATACCATGTGTCTTTGACAATAATGTAGGAAAGAGCTTGAAAGTTCATTTAAAACTCAAGTTTATTTTCATTGTTCAGTGTTAAATATCACATTATATACTGAATAATTTGACCCAGCCCAAGCTCTCTAAGAAAACGAGGAAAAACTCCCCAAAATCCTGATGGCAGGAAAATGAGAAGAAACCTCGGGAAAGGCAATGCAGAGAGAGATCCCCTCTCCTCGGACGACTGGGTGTGCTACAAAATCTGCAAAAGCAGGAGTTCCTCACGTTCTCCTTCCTGTCAAGGATTGAGCAGCATTAGTATTTGAATGACACTTATGCATGACATTAGATAATATTAATATAATAATTCCAATTACTAACAGGATGTTCTTTTGTAGCATAACCTTATCCTGCAGAATGACGAAGGAGTTCCTCACGTTCTCCTTCCTGTCAAAGAGGCAGAGCAGAGTTAGAATTTGTATGACAAGTTTGGGTTGGTGTGCGTGCGTGTGTGTCTGTGTGTAGTGTTAGTATTTTTGAGCCATGAACCAAAATGTCAGCTCGTACACGGGGTAAAAAAGGGAAAACACCTTTGCTTCTCCTCTGGAGCCACTCTCAATTATACTTTACAAGTTCAGCCCCACCACTGGTAAGACTGAAAGACAAGCAAAATCATGTGTGCTTCAACATCAATGATACACTCATATAGAAAGGCGATGAACACTGACTTTTGTTCTGTTCATCAACATATAAATTATCGTTGCAATAAAAACATTAAGCTAACAAAACGGACATTCAGACACACACACTTTTGTCCTGCATCTACATTGGCGTTTGAGAACAACATGTACTCAGTCCCAGCAGAGCGTGAATGAATGACTGTGTTCTCCGTCCTGCCCAGAGTCACAGATCATTTTGGTTGTCTGGGAGGAAAACAAAGCTTGAGACCCAAGATGAAGGCAGAGAAGGAGGCTCCTTCAAAAGCTAAAATAATTTCCCAGATTTTAATGCTCATGTGTCTCGGTTCCTTCAATTCAGGTAAGTCACATTTTCTATTTAAGGATTTGCTAAAGGTTTGCCTGACAATGGTCACTTGCAGATTTATGCAATTGGAAAAGCTTTAACTTTGTAATAGTTTACATTGTAGCAAGTAAGGAACAGCTGAATCATGAAGTATGCTTTTTTGTTTGTTTTTTTGTTTGTTTGTGTCAGAATGAGGGAATCAAAAAATTACAAACTGCAGATATAATGTTAGCTATGCAATGTGAATCAACACCAACTTGCTGGATGTAACAATCCGAGGGTCCTTCCAGTAGCATATGCAACTAAACACTCACATTTTTAGTATTATTTATTACTGCTGTTCTTACACAGTATTAGCTGGATTCTGGAAGAAAATACCAAAAACAGGAGCAAAATGGATTTTGTTTTTAAAGTTGCATATTTACTATAAATATAAATGGAACATGTAGAGGGTTTGACACAATATGTTATGACCAGAGGTTTGTGGTTATCTTTGCAGTGCTATGCATCTTTAATGTCAGTTAAATTGAGGACTCTGAAACTGAAAACTGATCATTATGGACATCACAAAGGTAGTATTTGTTGTTGGGGTATTGGATTGCATTAAATTGTGTGGGTGCTTTTAAATTCTTGTGCCCACCCTTTGTAAGTAATACAGTAATTGTGTCTTCAGGCTGAACCAGTGTTTTCAGACATTCAGTAACTTTCAGCTGTGGCTGTGTCTCATCACTGCCCTGCTATTGTTGTGACTAGCAGCCGAGTCACTGAGTTGCTCTGTTTCTGCAAAGCTAGCATGGCATCTGGACTGCTCCCAGTGTTCTTTTCATGAACTGCCAAGAAGGAAATTTGAACAAACAATCCCCACTTTTGTTGGCTCATGCTGGCCCATCCCAAGAACTGACAGCTGTTCCCATGGTCATGTAGATCTGCCATGCAAACTGGATTCAGTATACAGCAGAGATGGGGCGTGATGCCCACACGAGCCTTCAGCTAACCACTGAAACTAAACGTTGGCAATGAAATTACTTGAGGTTTGAATAAAGGGGGCTGTATAACTGAGCCACATCGTTTCTGCAGATTTATGATTCTCAGCAACACGTCCGTTAAAGAGTTGACTATGTAAAACTATAAATGCTTGTTGCTATTAGAGCTGTACACATCTCAGACAACTATGGTAGGTACATTCCTCTTGGTGTCTCTTCATCTATAAATATTTACTTCCAAATTTGTGAAATAACAATAAAATGATTATAAATAATGATGTATAGACATATTAATAGCACTTGGACACATAGACGCCTAGCATAACAGAAATATATTTATTTCCTTTAAGCTATGGATTGTAAATAATCAATTGTTGACCTCTCTTGTTTGTTTCTCTGCAGGTGGGGTGGTGGCAGTGAATATGACCATCCCCAACACTCTCATTAGAGGTACAGTAGGGGGGGGAGGCCCTGCTGTCTGTCCGCTATAGTAGCTTCAGCCTCGACCTGCCGGTCATCAAGTGGCAGCTCAAGAGGGAAAAGTCTGTCACTGTTGTCCAGTCAATTGGAACTGACATCATTGGGACCCTGAGGCCCGAGTATCGTGACCGGATCCTGGTATTTGAAAATGGGACTCTGCTTCTCCACAACCTCAGGCTCTCTGATGACGGAACTTATGACGTGGAGATCTCCATCACAGATGACACCTTTACAGGAGAGGGCACTATCACGCTCACTGTGGATGGTAAGAAAACAAGCTCTATTGTGTGATTTGTAAAATGAACGTAACGGTAAAAATCACACCAGTTTCTCTTCAGTCTGAACCAGAAAACATACTTCTCAAGTCCAATTTAAGTGCCAGTTGAGTTGTGTATGGATAATGGCAGCTTTCACAAATAGTTTGATGCCTTGCTCCTGAGAGTGAGACCCCAGATTACCTGGGTGGATACTAAGTACTATTTCTGCTGCTGACTCAACATTTCACTTTTTCTAAAAGTGAGTAAAGAGGACAAGGACATGTTTAGCCAAGACAGGATGCAGGAGAAAGCTGCTAACCTGGATCCATCAAGAGTGAATTCATGATTTACTCTCCTTTGACTCAGAGTGGCACAAAAAACACAATTTAACAACATGCTGTAAGGTTCTATTAAAACATTTTCCAAACTTTGAAAAGTCAGCCAACTTACTTGACAGATTTAAAGGCCCTACACACCCACACAGGTGATGCTTGTTATAGCATCGAGGGCAAGGAAACCTGGTTTAATGGAGTGCAAGCAGCATATGAGGTGGTAGGTCTGACAATGAATGTCTCTGCTGACAACAAGCAGCAGGTGGTAGAGATGCTGCAGCAAAGTTTAGGTTAATCTTTTCTAAACTTTTAAGTGATGGCGGACACAACATTACCGTTTCTAACAACACATTCTCACTCCCAACTCGTGAAATACAGACGAAAGGTATTTGGCTAGGCTTAGGAAAAGATCATGGTTTGGGTTAAAACCAGTGTGTTTGTTCAGTAAAACAACTGCATTTGTTTCGTAACTGGCGTTAGTAAACTATGGAAGTTATGTAACAAAACTGCAGTAACAGAAGTCAACACTGACTGTGTTTCACACAGGACAATCTCGTGTTTGTTTTGGAGCGCATCCATTAAGAACAATAAAAGGTTCGAGGCAACAATAGCTGTTGTGTGAGCAGCAGCACTAGCTGGCAGTACAGTAAGACTGAGGTAACCACAGTGATTTGGTGGAAGAGTGCAGGCCTGTCCTAACCAAAGAACACTAGAGGGCCAGGGGATCTGGGACTTTGGTTAAACTTATTACAGGCTTATTTACTGTGTGTGTATTGTCAGCAGTTATGGTAGAAGCTGCAGTGCTGGTCCATCAACCTCCCTGAAGACACCTTACATCTTAATCCCCCCATGTATTAGCTCATGCTCACCTCTAACCTCTCCAACCGCATTTCATGATGGAAGAATGGCATCAGCTCTGCCCACATAGAGGTCTGTGTGAAGGTCACCTGTATACTGAAGAAGAGTAGGAGGGAAGCAACAATGTTCCACAAGAGGCAATCTGTGTCAACTATTTCCTCCCACTCTACTGCTGAGAATGCAATCCTCTGTCATCTGATGCTCAGAAGATTTCATGGCTGTTAAGAGCCATCTACAATACAATAATGTTTCCATAAGCCAAAGGGCCATTCACATTTTCACATTTCGCATTGGCCACTGTTTTCCTACGTGCTTTGCACACGGGAGACGTTTCAGTTGGTTACAATCTGCAGCCTCACAGCTAGATGCCGCCAAATGCTACACACTGCACCTTTAATAAACATAATAATCTTGCTTAATTTCTACAATACTGTACTACAATCTTTGGTGTTCTTTCAGATTTTGAACTTGAAACTCATTTTTGACATACAAATCAATATCTTGGTCCTCCTCTCCAATAGATGCCATAGTCTATAGGTAGATTCACAGCACCCCAGTTTAAAGCTCAACTGATTAAAACTCAGACCAATATTATCAGCTGATACTAGTTCACAGATACATTTGTATTGGCGTATATACTTGAGGATGAGTAGCAAGAGACTACAGGTCAGAAATCGCGTCAAATATGCTGTATGTGGTAGTTTAGAAACACATTCTGTATTTTATTTTTGAACATGTGAAATTGGGACATCATATCATTTTGAACTACTGTAGCTGCAGGCATGGTTGACTCCCACTTTGAAAGACTTACAGTAGTGAAGGGGGCCTATTAAAAGCATTTAAGACAGTCTCCAGGTCTCTAAAGATTCAATTAAACTAATGGATAATGGAGAAAACTACTACTAATGACAGAATTTATCTATAAAATGTAGCCAAATTTCTTATCGCCACATGAAGACGGAGGTCCAAAACATTTGGTGTAGGCTGGCAGTCTGAAAAGCATCCTTTATTAGTACATGGATAACCAATGCATATTGACTCAAACAGTCTTCATCAGGGTATAAAGGGCAATGAGGACAGATATTCTAGTTACACCTCATCAAGAGGTCATGTGTCACATGGCATGTTAACCAAGAGACTACTTACAAGAAAATAAGTGCAAACTTATACTGTAACAAACTCACACATACACTGTCAAAAAATAAAAAGATATTAAATCATCAAATAATAAATAAAGGTCAATGACAGTGAAAATATCAAAATGTGCTAACATATACTGTAAAAACGCACACATATAATGGCTGATAATACAATACAATACAAATGCTGTGAATAAACATCTAGTTTAAAGACCCCTACAATATGAAAACACTCATGATGGATCACCCTCAAAAATACTTATCTAAAAACATAACAACTATAATGTCAGATACTATAAGAAAGGTATAATAATGTTGGTATAAATAGTATACAACAACAACATATAAAATAAATGTAGAAACAAGCAGAGAAGTTATTGAAAAGGGGAGAAGTCAATTTCCTGGTAAGTCCCTGAATAAAAGTTGGCCTGAAGTTACTGATCCAAAACATCTCCTGTTTTGAGTCTATCAGCATCCCTTGCATTCTACAGCATGTTTCCTGTTGTTTTGTGTCTATTTACATGTTGAAAACTATTGAATCTACTGCCGCCTTCCTCCAGAGTTGATATCCAGGCCCTATATCCACATGGAAGCTTCATCAGTACTGGAGCTCAGCGAAAACGTCATCCTCAACTGCTCCCATGACAATGGAACCAGGAATGCCTACAGGTGGTTCAAAGGTGGAAAGCCACTGACCAACGTGTCGAGGTTCATGTTGTCACCTGACCAGAAGCTCTTGACCATCACACGGGTGTTGATGGCAGATGATGACATCTACAGCTGCACAGTGGAGAATCTTGTGGGTAACATGACAAGCCTGCCAATCAGACTGACGGTCTACAGTAAGTGAAACGAGCCAACAAGTGTTAAACGCATCATGCTCGACAAAGTGACATGGGCAGTACAATAGGAGGTAGATCTGTTCTCTTCACATATTTATCAGGACAACACAGAAGAGCTGTCCATGTAGAAGCCTTGAAACACATGAAGCAAACATTTTGAAGTGTTACAGGAAGCCAATGTATCCCAACATTTCAAGATATTTCATGTTTGCATATTTTATCAACAATTCTATGCCATTTGAAAGTCAAAATGATAATTATCCTTACATATACATTATTTGACAACATTAAATGTCCACATAAAATAAAGGCTAGCGGCCTCTGAAAAGGTTCCAGGTTTGGGACAACAGACGTGGCTATGACTCAGAGAATTAGGTCAGAGAGGACGCTCAGTAGATACACATGGCCTGTAAGAGGGAACAGCAGATGTATATGTAATTTAAATTACAGCATTAGTGAGAACAAAGCAGTGAATAAGAGAAATGAAAGCTACGCTTTGTAATATTTCATGGCGTTGACGGTCTAAAGCCCATCTCTCTGGTGCTGAAGTTGCCAGATTTTGAATGACTTGTGCTGGGACTTGTGCCACGGTATAAATCATCGAGGGGCGGGACAAAGCAGCGGTATTTGACGACCTGGACAGGCTACTGGCTGGGGGTTACACCCCCACGTGAGGCCCAAAGACTCATTGCTGATGCCCAGAAATGTCCCGAATTCAGCAAAATAGGAAGAACAGAGAAAACACAGGCAGCGGCAGAGTCTCTGCAGACACTGCTACACACTTCCAGTTGGGGATGATTGAGAGGGATTATTTTTGTATTAGTCTATACATTGATTTTTTTAAAAAAATCCTGCATATTATACCTTTAACCTCATAGTGGGGCAAGAGGAAAAGTCATGGTATCACCAAAGTCCCGATAGATCATCATCTGGGGACCATGAATAAAATAGATGTTGACATATTTAACAGGATAAGTGAAGAATTACACCAGCAGGTGGACTCTAGAGGAAAATTCAGGAGATCACCAAAGTCATCAGGATTCAGTCTATGGGCACCCTGGATGGCTGTGCAAAACTTCATGGCAATCTATCCAAAAGTTGAGATATTTTAGCCTGGACCAAAGTGGTGGACCGCCCATCCCTAGAGCCATGCCACATGTCTAAAAGTAGCTTTACTCTCCCAGATTTTGTAAACATAAATTCAACAATCATTTTCTGTAAAATACTTTTATGTATGTTCCCGTATTCTGTTAGTTTTCTTGAACTGTAATTTTGCCTATCCTACCAGGAAGAAGTTCCCTCTATATCATCCTTTCCACTGGGGGCATTTTCCTCCTCATCACTTTGGTGACAGTGTGTGCCTGCTGGACGCCTTCCAAAAAGTAGGAACTGCCAGCAAGCTTTTAAAATCAACCTTAAATTCCATAAGACTAATTTTAAGAAAGGCATGTCTGGAATGCAAATAAACAAACATTATCACATAACATTAATGCATTGAAACCCTTTTGTCTTTGTTAGGCGAAGACATCCAGCTACAAAGCCTCTCTCCAGCTTGTATGACCACTTGGATCACTCACCACTCAGTCAAACAGGTATAATATAGTTACACTGAATAAATATTTCACTGTGATGACAGTTAATACAAAACGTAATCAGTTAATATAAATGAGACTGGAATGGTAACGATTCCGAAACTAGGTGATGTGTGTAAATGACAGTCCAATGTTTTATGCTTTGCCACAGCTGATATGCTTCTGAAAAGGACAGAGCATAATGGAAAAAACGCTGTAACTTCACTTTACATCCTGCAGCAAAAGGTATCTCTCTTATCCTCACTATGCTCTTAGTACATTCTGTGACTCAGAAATGGAAGCAAGACACAAATCTGAAGCAACACTAGTGAAAAAAAGACTGTAACAAACTAAAACTTAACTTTTGACGTAAATTAGATTACAATTGCCTGATTATGGAGTATAAGGTTGACTGGACCATGGACACATTCCTACACAAGGATCTAAGAGCCATATGAGCATTTATTGGGTGAGGGGAATGGATGAGCAGATGGAGGCGGAATAGATGTTTTTTTTTTCTTAAACAAAGTTGGGCTGACGTTGTCCTGTTTTGCAGGATCCCTCAATGGATGACTCATCCAGCAACAGTATTGGATCTCCTTCTGAACTGGACAACCCTCCGTGCTACTACAGTTCCCCCAACTACACCGAATCTCTGACCCAGTCTAATGGGTCCCCTGCCCGCTCTTCCCACAGGTATACCTGAAATCCCATCAGTTTAAACGCTCCACACGCAGCTAGTGGGAGGACGGTCCTACTGTGTGCTGCTCCTGACACTGGGTGGCAACTTCCTGCACATCGGCCCGGAGTTTGGGAAAGATCGCTTTCAAAATCTGGGGTTTTACAATAATGTAATTGCTGCCTGTTGATATGTTTTTATTAAAGTAAACTGTAACTTAGATATAGATTGCTTTTAAAGTTAGAAGCACAGACTGTAGAGAAATTTAAAGCCTCTATTTGGTTTTATCACTAACCACCATTGTTGTTGTTGGTTACTGGATCTACAAAATCAAAACATTTGCAATGGGCACGGAGTCTGCATGAAGTTGAGGTGGGGTAAGAAAGATGCAAGACTATACATTGATAATAATACTGTTGTTATGCTCAATTCAAAATGATCAACAACATTGGGTTTGTTACAGATTAAGTGGTTTTAAAGAAAATAAATCACCCTCAGAAATGTCACTTTATTACTCTTTTACAGTGTTATGTGTGATATTGTCTCTAGTGTTGATGAAAGGAAATGAAGCTGTTACTTTGTAACATTTTGTGAAATAATGTAAATTACTATTTTAGTTATACTAGATAATTTAATAGCATTTTTAATGGGCCAGACAGAGAAAAGACCAGTTGATGGAGGATATTTCAATTTTATACTTAAATAAAATGTGAAACATTTCTCAGGTTTCTTGTAATATTTCCTCTGTGCTCCTTGAGTCTTTACGTAATGTAAGGTGTGCCTCTGCTCATACTGTATTTACTCAAATATTTTCATGCTTTTTTATTTTTCACAATCTTAAAATCTAAGTGCCAACTCCATCTTCTCAACATCCACTCAATTTACTCCAACAGTTAAAAATTTAAAATAGACTTAGTCACAAATAAGCATGCTGTTTATAAAACCAGATACTTTCGCATGCATTTCCACCTGCAGGACCATCTCAATTGTTCCCACTGAAAGCCCAACCCAAGTTGTACAGTGTAAGATAAGTCGCTCAGAGGTCCCTGCGGCCGATCGACCCGGTCGCGGCTGTTTTCTGTCCTGGCCCCACAGTGGTGGAATGAACTCCCCACTGACGTCAGGACAGCGGTGTCACTGCCCATCTTTTGGCGCAGGCTGAAAACTCACCTCTTCAACAAGGCCTACCCTTAGCCTTCCACTTAGCACTTACTTAGCATCTATTGTATTCATACTAGCTTATTGCACTTATTGTATTCATATTAGTTTGTGGCACTTATTGCATTAGTTTGTTTCTGCACTGTACGTTAGCTCTGGTTTATGCTCGTAGATGCTTGTTTGAAGAAAGGAGATGTACTTATGACTTCTGGTGACTAGTTGTTCTCTCGAAAACCGATGTTGAATACACTTATTGTAAGTCGCTTTGGATAAAAGCGTCTGCTAAATGACTGTAATGTAATGTAATGTACTTGTCCAAAGATTTCTGTCGACAAATAAAAACGACTTGGTTTTCTAAACCGAGTCATTGTTTGATTTCGTGGAAAATTCGCTTGTCGAACCTGTCATCAAGTGCAGTTGATCTGCAATCATTTTAATTAGCTACTTAGTGTGGTGAAAAAAAATCTTTTTAACCTCACAGTGAGAAATAATCACGATGAAAACTTCTTAAAGTATTAAAAACATATTTAATGAACAGACACTTCAATCAAAATTCAGCTGAATGAATAGAGCTCTTTCCCCACTGATGGTTCTGAGGTCTAACAACAATAAAGAGACAAAACAGAGTATATATGTGCGTTATCTCGTCTCCTCTCCCTTCACCCTCCCCCTCGCAGATGTTGTCGGCCGCTGCACCCACCAAGGCCAGGTTCCCAGCCTTTTCGTGGGAAGAGGGTTAGGGTGGCATCTGCAGGTTTAAGCGATACTAGTTATAACTAAAAGAAACATATGATGAATTTCCACAACACTTAGTAACTTTGCAAGAGCTAAAACTCCCTTTGATAGCTCAGTTGGTAGACCGGAGGACTGTAGGCTGATGATTCCCAGTAGAAAATATGCAGGTATCCT